TCCGATGCTGTAGAGCCGCTAGAAGAATTATTTGAAGAACCCGAGGCGATAATTGAACCCCCCGAAGCAACCTTAAGTCGAAGGGCAAAGTCTTACTCTGACTTCTACCATGTCGTTCGTGCGCAACTCTCTAAGGATGCTGCTGCAAAGAAGAGGCGCAAGAAGGCCAAAGAGAGAGGTTTAGAGGCGCTGATGGTTGAGAGGGTCGAAAAGGTCGTCCGAAAACAAGAACCGCCCCAATTGAGATCTTCCGATGACGAATTGATCGAGGCTAGCCAGCAGGAATACTTGTACGGTACTTTGTGTTTAACGGGTGTCGATGTGGTCACTAACAGGGAAACAGGCTTTATCAAGACCAGCTAGAGATGACTGAACGTCACCTAGATACGCTTATTGGCGATACAAATAGTGCTCTAGATCTGCTAACATCTTTGGCCGGTTCATTTCGTGCCGTCGAGTCGCAGACGTCCTCTTTCCAGGCCCAGTGTGACGATCTCATATCAGAAGAGAGAAGATTACAAAAGCTTGCCGACGAGGTTGGAACTGACTTGCATTATTATGCATATCTAGATGGCGTTACAAGGAGACTGAATGCTCCTGGTGCTAGCCGTCTAGTGAACCACGAAAGTTTTGGCGAAATCCTAACGAATCTGGATGCTTGCATAACATTTATGGTAGAGCATGTTAGTTTCTGCACGACCTGCGTACTTCCCCTATGCACTCTTTACTGACCTGTATTAGCCTGACTACCGGGATGCCGAGTCCTATCTGGCCAGATATCAGTCTCTACTCACTAAAGCTCTTCATTTACTCGAAGTTGGGTTTACAGGCCATCTTGATCGAATCTCATCGGACATATCAAAGCAAATTTCTGCTACGCAATCCGAATCTGCTAGACATGCTCTCGCATATGGTCGATTTGAGGAGATGGTACTTGAAGTAGATGGTTTAGTGGCGAATGCCCAACGCGTTATTCGTAGTTGCTATGATCAACTGGGAAACCCAACCCCTGGGCAGAGCTTTGATTATTATTCCAATACTGCCGTCAACATTTTTTCGTCTTACGCAGACGTGAGAGACCGTGATCTCCGTCCCATGACTCAACATGACCTTGAGGCGTTTAGAAAAGAGGTCAAGGAAGTCAACGCAGAAACCGCATGTCGCAACTTTGTCAAGCAATGCTATGAGCGATCATATGATGAAGCAAATCTTTTCGCCAAGATCTTCTCCATAGAGCCACAGTACAACGTGGATCCCCAGTCCGCCTACGTAGCCTTAAAGTCGCAACAAAAATCATTAGTCAGTGCCGCAAACATTGCCCCGATCGCAACGACGTTGCAGTCTGTTTTACAAACAAGCGAGCTCCAATCGGTTTGTAACTTTGTAGGATGGATCACAAACGAGTACCTCCTATCGGAATACGACGAAGAAGAGACTCGATACTCCGTTCACTGCCATGACCTCACCGCTCGACTGCTCATCGAACATCTCTGGCCCTTGACCGACACTGCTTTCGAAGCCGAGGTTACGAAATCCATCTCAAAAGCCCCCATTCCGCAAGACTCTCTTAAGATCACGCCCGTTGTGAATGGTGTCGCATCTTCCAATGTACATCCAATTACGAAACGGGCCCTTGAGCTTCTGGCTATGTATGACCAAGCCATGCCGAAGGAGCGAAGCGTAAGTAGTACTCTAGTTTTATTTTCGCTATAGTTGAAAACTGACCTATTCCCTTTAGTCGAGCCCAATTGTCTTTCGAATAATCCACGAGACTATTATTGCCATGCAGCGCGCCGAATCCCGGTTAAAGTCTAACAAGGCAGCTAGTCCAGAGCCCGACCCTGATTTATTCATGATCAAGAATCTGCTTATTCTTAAGAATGGACTGGTGTCACTCGAGATCGGCGATGTTAGATCTTATCCAGCAGCGATGCAGCACTTTGGCCAAATATGGGATGCTCTTAGTCCTCAAAACTGGATGGGCCTATTTAGAGGTATTCTCGGCGGTTCCCTATCACTCGGCCTCTGGTCATCTGCAGTTAGCGCCTCTCCTGCTACGAACGGCAAGGCCGCACCGGCTAGAAATCAGGTTCAACCTGAGCAAGATGCGAACGAGAAGTTGGACGAACTGCTACGGCAGAGCATCTACGCTTTTACACAGCGGTGGGGGACATTGATAAACGCAGCTAGGAGCGGCAAACGTGGCGCCAAGAGCCTAGAGGCCACAGAGAAGGAGCTTGATGAAAAGCTCTTGACTGCGTTTGGTGGCCAGCCTGAAGTTGTAGCCAAGCTACAGGAAGCTATCCAGATAAATGCACAAGCCCAGAATGAACTGAAGGCAGAAAAGGGTGTGCGATAGGAAAAACCAATGTTTATTCCTGCCAGTGTCTGGTACTAACTAACTCGCTGATGATAATTGTAGTACCAGTTATTTCAACCAAGCTCATCCTGGGGAGAAATACGAGATACATTGGAAGTATGACCCTGACATTCGATTATAAGTTCAAATTAATCGACATGGTAGCAACGATATTACCGCCGAAGTAGTAGCGCGGCGAGTAATAGGAGATTCTTGAAAATACCAAGTCAAACGTAGTGGTTACACAGCTTCTAATGTTACCTCACAAGTTGTGATGCACGAAATCTCACTATAATAGCCATGTAATCGCTAAAGTACCTTAGCCTTTAGTATCCGAGCAGCCCCTTTTGCTCGAGTGGTCTTTTTCACCTAAGCTGTGCGGTTCTAGATCATTAAACCCTTATCTAGGTAGGTACCTAAGCAGAATACATTACCTCATGTCTAACCCAGCAGCTCTTTTCGAATTGTAGAGAGATGGAATGTACGTATTCGGCTTGGCATGTAAGAGGACCCCCATAAATGATACGCCTGCTAATACCGTAGTCGTATCATAGTAGCTCCCGTGACGTAACTCGGGCGGAAGGACTAGTCAAAGAATGGGTAACCCAGATACCACCTCTCCAAAGAGCAATAGCTCCAACTACTAAAAGCTTCACCCGGGCTCTTGCCCTCATTAGTTTCGTAGCTATCCCGATGTGGTCTAGTGACCGAGTGTGCTGCACCATCGGCACAGGCGATCAAAGGGACATCCTTATAGGAGAGACAAGGAAACTAAGCAAGCCTAAGTTCTTTGAACTATAGGGAGTATTAAAGATCGAAGGGAACCTAATTCAGGCCGTTTACAACCCACATCTCAGTACGAAAGTTAGATCTCGAGATACAAGTGATAACCCCGAATCAGTTCTATTATCCTAAAGGACCTAAAGGAGAGACATCATGGCCGCGACACAAACAGTACAAGTCCCACACTTGGAAGCCCAGGTTGGGTACGCTATATCGAACAACAAGCTGGATCCTTCAAAGCCGACATGGGTGCTCATCAACTCCATGTGCACTTCGGTCGAGTTCTATCGCGCCCAGTTAGATAATAAGACGTTGACAGCCGCTGTGAACTTAGTGGCTATCGAGCCGCTCGGCCATGGCGCGACAACTTGTGCTACGGAGCACTTCACCTACTGGGACACGGCGCTCATTACATTGCAGGCCCTTGAGGCTTTGGGCGTAAAGAAGGCCTACGCATTAGGAACTAGCCAGGGAGGTTGGATTATCGTGAGGATGGCACTACTGGCACCAGAGAAGGTAATTACTAAATTTTGGACGCTACCTGGCTACTTGACAAGTGGATCGTCTCGGCTCACAAAATATAGATTCTGGGCCTCCTTCCTCTCGGCACGTCGATGGATGCTGAAACTAGCGAATCTCGCGAGAAGGGCTGCTGGTGAGTCAAATTTCCATCGTCGATGCCCTCTTAATCCCGTCGTGATCTCCCTATGCTATACTCGTCTTTCGAATGATAGTTGTGGTTGAGAAATCATATCGCTAACCAGTCGACCGTCGTAGGGATCCGGTCCCATTTCTACAGCCGTTCCTCGAGAAATGGGGTAGCCCTACCCCAAACTTCGTCGTCGGTGACGACTGGATCCAAGCCGTAATTGGGTTAGGCTTCGGATCTGCGGGAACCCCTCAAGTCCTCGAATTCTGGACTGAGACCCTCCGTCGCGTCTACTCAGGGGACGAGGGACGCCGAAAGCTCCGGATGGCTGCCATCTGCTTGGCGGATAGAGATGGGCTGCAACTCAGAATAGGAGATATCAAATGTCCCGTTCATTGGCTACACGTATGTTTTACCTTCTCACCGCTTAGTGGTTTCTAGTTTAAGGGATAATTGTTGCTGAGACATTTCTAGGGATCGACCGATGCTATCTACACTCATGTCGTTGCTCAAGAGCACTCCAAAGGATTTACGGGCTCGAGCGACTTCCAGTTTAACATCCTCGAGGGTGGCGCTCACTTCTTGGTTGCGACGCATCCTAAGGAGGTTGAGGATGCAATTTTGGCCATGACCGCAAAGGCCTAGATTGTTATTGGAAGGGCTAGGCCGTACATGTCCTAAACGTTCATATGAAATTCGGATATCTGTATTGTTACGGCTAGGGTTAGGTAGGTATGGGTTTATCAGAGGACAAATCAAGTAGGTCATCCAACGTAAGTTTCAATAAGAGGATATCACATGCCTGGAAGTTGAACTTATCATTATTATATACAATTATTTTATACCAAGACCATTTGGGCCAAACATACTAAGCACATCACTTGGCTAGAGTTTAGACAATGATTTGAATGCTTGTCTCCCTGACAGCCAAAGCCCCCTGTCACTATTGAGCCGCTGACGCAAGACAGCGTCAATAGTATCAAACGCACAAATCATCATCAACAATTGGATATAATAGGGAATAGCCCTTGTAATATATCATGCTGTAATACAGCATGCAGTGATACATCAGCGGTCCTAAAGCAGAATAGCTTGGAGGAAGTGCTGTCGAGTAAGACCAGTCCGCCCTAATATCTTGCATTCCTCGGCATATGTGCCCCCAACTATTAGTTGATTATCAAGATACGATAATGTCGAACTGTAGATTCCCTTAAGTTGATTAAACCTAATGTGATATGAATTTTGCTATTTTCTGGTTGGTGGCATTCAGTATTTTTGATGGCTTTCTATCCCGCTTTTACTCTCACCTATTTTCTCTCCTTTTCAATTACATCCTCCTTGGCTTCGTTTTCCCTTTTCGCTTTCTAGAGATTCCGCTCGTCTCCACCTATGCACCCGATCAACCATGGATCAATGTGTTCTCAGCTCCAACTTTATAGAGCCACAGTGCTTCATCGGGCCCTGCGTAAGTCTTGCTTTATTCTTGATACTTGCATAAATATCAACGAACCTGAGTCTAATGAGATTCAAAATTTAGTGCCTATCATTGGTGGCTTTGCTCGGTGAGAAGGTCGCCTTTCCAGGAAACCAAAAATATAATTCTTCCATTTCCTCGTATCATAGCCAACAAGAATCTCGTCTCGAGCCTTTATGTGTCGTTATTCCAACCACAAGCGAAGATGTCTCAATCGCAGTTCACTCACTATCCTCTACGGCCGAGGCGCTTGGAGATAATAGACAAAATAGTTGTCAATTTGCTATCCGATCCGGTGGGCATGCAGGTAATGCTGGGGCGGCAAATATTGCTGGCGGAGTAACCATAGACTTACGTTCTCTCAATACTATTGAGGTGAGTGAGGACAAGTCTACAGCCTCTGTGGGAGTAGGTACTCTTTGGGGTGACGTCTATTCAACGCTCGATCCCCTTGGTATATCGGTCGCCGGCAGTCGCGTAGCACAAGTTGGCGTTGGTGGGTTAACTTTAGGTGGCGGAATTTCATACTTTTCGCCTCGATATGGTTGGACGTGCGATACGGTATCGAGTTTCGAAGTAGTGCTGGCCAATGGGTCTATCGTAAACGCCAATGCCGATGAGAATCCCGATCTTCTTTTTGCTCTCAGGGGTGGCTCAAACAACTTTGGCGTTGTCACCCGGATCGACTTTCAAACTTTCGAACAGGGCCCTATATGGGCAGGAGGGGTTCTTTCTTCCAGTGACACCATAGATGAGCAGCTGGAAGCGTTCGTTGATTTAAATTCGGCGGAATCATATGATGAGTATGTGTCATTGATCACGAGCCTTGGTTACGCCGGCGGTCGCAAAACTTTCATCTTGAACAACATCGAATACACGAAAGCCGAAGAGAATCCACCGGTTTTCGAACCATTCATGAAGATATCCGCGATGGATGAAAAAGTGCGCATTTCTAGTATGGCAGAAATGGCGGTAGAACAGGGCTCGTACTCGAAAAATGGACGGCGGTATGTACCAGGGGTTGGAACAACCGGAGCACACGTACCATAGGTACCTAAATAACATGCTAACACACCAAATAGTCAATTATTCGTCACGATAACCCATAAGTCCACCTTACCAATGCTCAAGGCAGTTTACTTGAATTGGAATAAAAGTATAGAGACTATCAAAGGCGTTCGTGGCATTGTCTGGGCCATCTCGCTAGAACCGTTACCACCGGCCATTTACGCGCGATCCGCAACGTCTAATGTTTTCGGACTTTCAGACAGGTCAGATGCACTGGTCATAACCCTGTTAACTGTATTTTGGAGAAACGAGGCGGACGATTCGAAGGTTGAGATGGCAGCGCGCGGATTATTTAAAGAGATTGAAGACGATGCAAAAAGATTAGACGCATACGATCCTTTCATTTACCCGAACTACGCAGCGCCGTGGCAGGATCCTATTGCTAGCTACGGGGACGAAAGCTTGCGGAAACTACAAAGAGTGAGGATGGATGTAGATCCGAAAGGGGTTTTCTCACGTCAAGTTCCTGGTGGTTTCAAGATTCCGTTCTAGTTAAGGTATAGCAGCGACATGTTCATCATCATATGTATGAGACTACATGTAAGAACTCCTGATAAGACAAAAATATAACTAATTACGATAATTTTTAAGGTAACTAACTATATGATTCCTGCCCCTAAGGTGAGACTTGAATAATACGTTCCCGTTTCATGACGACATACGTGGGCTTGGTAGAGAAACGGAATCTTCTGTGTCTTGTTCATAGTCAAAGCCAGCACAGAGCTTTTTTATTCAACGAGTCCCAGAAGCATACTCTTGGTTCTTTGACCCTTACAACTGCAGATCAAAGATCGGGATAAACTTGGTTATTGAAGTTTAACTATGTGATTGTTTGCGAACAAAGAAAATGATACCAAACATAAGACCCTACATACCTAATATATAAAGATATCTATAATCGCTTGATACCGATTATTCTCATCACAAGATACGCCCATTACTACCATTTTCATACTGCTACCATCAGGTATTTAAGACATATCTACAACTACCTAACTATTAGGTAGATGAGCCCTAATAATTAGCTGACCTGTATTGAAAAGTAGACATCTCGTATTTCGACAAGATGCGTCGCGACTCTGTAATGATGAGATTTTACAAGGAACTCCCAACCATCATTTGTATCTCTACGCTATTCGGCTGCTGTTTGTTCACATTTTTCCATCTTACCGCATACATTATCTCCCCCCCGGAGAATCCTGTGGTAAAGGAATTTACTCATCGTCTCAAGACGGAAGGACCTACGAGCGCGCAACAGTTCCTGGTTAGAGCCGGTTCCCCAAACTCTCCTATCTACTATGACGTCCTCGACATACCGTGGTTCTCGCCGGTTGAAACCGTGAAAAAAGCATATCGCGAGAAGTTAATGATATACCATCCCGATAAGTTTGGGGGCGACGCAGAAGAAGCGAACATGAAAATACACCAAGCAAGAGAAGCCTACCAAGCCCTCACAAGTAAGGAGCGCTGCATGTACGACTATAAACTTGGGTCGGGTATACGCCATTTTGCCGACTGCAACCAAGCATGGCTCGACAGGGAAGCCGAGATGTTCAACGAAAAGCGGAAAGAAGCGAAAGAAGCGAAAAAGAGAAGAGGGGGACATAAGACAATCCAGGCGGCGAGACAAGAAAATCCACAGGAGCAAGAGAGTGTCCAGATGCAAGAAAATGACCAGAGGCAAGAAACAGCAACCAGCGAAAAGCCCGTCGCAACTGGAACAAACAAAGTCGCAGGACCTATTGCTACACGTGGCAAGAAGTTTTTTCAGAAGGTCAAAGACATCGGCATAGCTGCTAGAGCCGCTTGTTTTTTTGTCGCGGGGTGGATTGTTGTATATTTTGGAAGGGGACCTCCTATCAGATTCCGCTAGTTTTAGTAGTCTTCGACTACCTGACGATAGTGTAAGATAGCTTTGCGACCTTATTGAAGTATGGCATTCCAGCGGTGGTGTGGTGGACGGATTGCCAGTTTGTTGTCGTCATTCAAATCTAGAATTCTTTAAGACTAGTTACATAGATCTTGGAAGAATCTTTTAATTAACACTGAATGTGGTTGCATCTATACATAATCTACTTCCATCTTGCTACTGGCTTTGAATTTGAGTACCTACTGTTAGGTAAATAGTAAATACCAAATGCAGCCTTCTAATGTTGAATATCAATTCCACTTTGTTCTTTCAACTCCCTTTGTGCTAGTGTTATTATATCCGACAGCATGCCCAAATAACTCGACGCATTAATGTTAGCTTAATTCAATAATAAAGCATCAAACCCACTGTAAAGCCATGTTTGTGCTCGGACCAAGAGAATGTATTAATAAGGTAGATTTATCAAAGTTTAAACCATGATCTAGGATACCCCACTTTGCGGAGGTACTAGGAGGCACTTTGGCGGAGTGGTTAACGCGATGCCCTGCTATACATCAATAGACTAGGCATTCCCTTCGGGGGCGTGTGTTCGAATCACACAGGTGTCGATTTTTTTGTTCTTGGCGAAAGGTGGGCTTTAGTGATGGTTAAAGTCAACTAGTACTGCTATGGCAGCTAGCATAGGTGGGATGTATGGATCTCCTGCTTCGTCTCATTAAAACATATAAAAGACTTTTTATTATACCATAATCGTGCGTTTTTATAAAAAGCGAGGGCCCCCCGTGTGCGGGACCACAATAGCCCGACTTTTAACAAGGCTTATGCCATCCCCTTATGTCATTTCTTCCGAATTTTAGCCGCTCATTTCACTAAGGTCACCGTGCCGCCACGCCGGGCCGCGCGGGGGGGTGCTCGGCCCTCGTTTCGCGAAAGCCTCGCACTTTTTTTTTTCGCGCGGCCCGGTAGTAACGGCACGATGCTTTAATTACTTTAGGCTATCTTTTCACGTAGTTTTTTTTATTCGTGTAAAATTTAAAAAAAAATGGTGTGTAAATATTCCCATAAATAAATGCGAAATACATACATACCTGGTAAACTTGCTTTACCAATCAATCACCTATACGGAACTTTCCGTCTTTACGAAAACCCGCAGGGCTTAGGAAGCGGATGCCATTGCTAAGTAAGTGATAAGTGACAACCTGAGGCTGTGGTAACGGCATGCGGCCGCGACGACCGAGGCCTCCAAGGTGGCACAAGCTTTATATTTCTTTTTTCAATGAGCCAACCGTTTGATAAGTCTAATTACCCCTCTTTCAAACGGTTTAGGAGATCCCAATTCCGAATCTTGCGTATTGAAACTCGCAACTAGCTCCTTAACAATATGGAAATAGACACCAAATTCCATCTCTACGAATCGATTCCTGGAGAGATGAGTACATCTAGTTCAACAGTCGGGGGCGACGCAACGCCTACGCATTCAACGACGACAGATGACCTCCTCAGTGACTACCACACGACACCCCCGCTCCCACGACGTAAAGAAACAGTACCGTGGCCAGGCCACACTTTTATCATACGCGAACCCATTTCAGGGAAGCAGATTACCCTTGTCCGCGGAGAGCTCCGGCTCGAGCCGCACATGGGTGATCAGGGTGGCTACCATTGGATCTGCGTCGAGAAGAATGGATGGCTAGGGTTCTGCGATCCTATACACAATATGTTCATGGGCCATGATAGCCTCGGTACCTTCATCGCCCGAGTTAGACATCATCAAGCCCACGAGTACTTCAGCACTCAAAGGCACCCGGATGGTGGCTATCTCCTTGTGACACATTATAAAGATCGGTTATGGAAAATGGTAATCGCGGAAGACGGCCAGAAATTATTTACTACGAAGGGTGAGGGTACTGCTTGGGAGTTTATTAAGGTCTAGGTTCACAGGGGCCATTGAAAGCGGTACCCACGGAGACCAGATCTCCGTCAACTTGGACCCGATCGGGGGTCCAACGAAGAAAGCAGACTGGGCGGAGAGTGAGAAAAAGAAGTACGATACAGTCCTATAAAAATTTACCTTAGGCGATATAAATCTGTCCTGTGAATTTTAGTACTTATTCTCTGGTGTCTGAACATCGGATATAATGGCATATAGAATGGCAGTAGCGACAGTTAAGCCACCCCCTAAGATTTTCAATACAGGAGAAAGCAGAACGAGTTCGGCCGGTATACGGTCAGAGAAGTAGAAGACGAGTAACATCCACACAACACCTAAGAATTGTCCGACCGACCCTAAGAAATATATGGGCTTGCGAGCACGATCTGCAAGGACGCCAAAGGGAAAAGCAACAAGCATACCAACAAGGCCGTTTAGCGTTATAGAGAAGCCGAAGATGTATGCAACTTGCGATTGGATTTCTTCTACTTTACACATCCTCTCGTCGATAACGGCATTGTGCTCGTAGTAGCGACGGCAGAATATTTCCTCTGCTAATCTGGTACCCGGTACTATCGCTTGAGTCCCAGAGAAAGCCCAGAGAAATATGGCTAAACAGACTAAAGCCGAGATAGAATGAAGCTGCTTTGCGAGGAACCACAACGTACGAGTTGTTTGATGTGAAAACTCCCGCGGGCCTAGTAGAGGGGAATCGGGCGAAACCTCAGTGATCGATGAGTTATCATCATCATCCTGCCCCGGTGATATGCTATGATAGTTAATATTCCTCATCGCTGAATACGTGCCGGAACTAGACATAAATCAATAATAGAATGCATGACTAGGAGATTTTTCAAAGAGACTGGATGAAGTCGGCATTTGTAGATAGCTTGTTGAAAACGCTTCGGCTTGGCAGCTGAAAACTCGGATCTCTACTAAGACGTGGCGGTGTTAGGGTTGTGTGGAAATAGGGGCTAGGGGCAGAAGCTGAAAGGTATTATCCGTTAGTTAACAATAAAGGCCGCTTCATCACAAAATAAAACAAAATAAAATAAAATAATCTTAAGCATGATGCAGACCATTTGAAACTGTATCTATCGACTTTAAATCGGATATAAACCCATCCGTCCCTAGATGCTGTCACCCTCTCGTTGAAGTAGACTTCAAAGACTTGCCCAGCTACACTAGAACGTTCGGAGATCTGCAATTGATCGAAATAAATGACTGGCCCTTTTATATTTATCAGCATTTAAAACGTCAAATATAAGGTTAGACTGATTATTACAATGTTCTCAATTGCAAGTACTTAGTTAGATATTTCTCTCAGATATTCGTGGAATTAATAAATTCATTTGTAAGAAGTAACTATACTAAAGCACCTAACACCACCAAAATTGATTCCAATAATGACCTTACAATTGTACTACTTAGTTAAATTACGCAAGTCGTAGCGCAAGGTTAGTATACTAATGCTTTCATAACGCCATACTTAGTCCTTCTTTACCACATCATCAACTATGCTGTCCCAATATCCAGTAGTGCCCTTGTTAGAGTCATCTTGTAAACTCGACGTGGAAGAATCGTCAGATTCCTTACCCTTAGCCGAGCCTAAATCAATAGACTTTTGACTACCACTTACATTTTTTATTGGCATAGCCGTTGCTGTGGAAATACCAATCACCATGGGACTCCTAGGTCCCTCATGGTGCTCATCGTCGTCCATACTACCAACAACAAACACCTGATCGTCGTTCTCCCCATCGTGGTAGACAGGTAACCTCCTTTTACTAGGATAGGTTGAACTTGGAGGAACGATAAAATGGTCTGAAGTTCCCGCCTGCGTAGCCCAATGCATATCTCTCCAATCACGGAGCTCTTGCTCCCAACTCTCAGGGGTGGGCTGTGTAGGAGTAGTCATGGGCCGGTTATTGACTTCAGCGGATGCACTAGAAGGAATGCCCCGTTGCGCGTTCCCCCAACGACTCTTCCGGCGACATACACCGAACGCCGGGATAGCTAAAAGAAACAAAAAGACGACAGCTCCAACAATGATATATGTGACGAGGTTTCTATGATACGGATCATCTCGTCGAGATAGTCGAAAAGATCCGTGGTCGAATATACCGACCAGCGTAGTTGCTATTCCTTCGGTGGTCAGCCATCTAGGAGTGGCGGATGTATTATTATTGTGTGAGTGAAACATGGTGTAGGGTGCCATGTTTGCATATTATATTACCCAAATAGCGAACGACTTTAAAGAAAATAGCGAACGACTTTAAAGGGAAAAACCTAGGGAAATATTTTCTTTTCTCGTGAGCCGACGCTCAACCTACCTTATATCATACGTCATGAATAATACTATTGTTTTTGAAAAGACAATCAGGAGTATACACGTAATTACAATGCTCTTATTGATATAGTCAAAGGGCAATGTCGTTCTTTATCTTACTAGAAAGAATCAACATAATTACATTCAATAACACCCTAGTCTTATTCTCCAATGTTATTCTTTGTGTGAAAGAAGCACTCCATTTACCCTAATTCCGAGAAAATGTTTGGAAATACGTGGTATAGCTTATACTTCCTTATCTTCGCTAGATTATCGCACGTGTGGCCCGTAGAGTGCGGGATTTGCTTGTCAAAGAGTATAAGATAATATGTAGGTAGTTAGCTAGGAGTCTCGCTCGGCGAATTACTTATATGAAAGCTCCTGCACGGTGTCATCATACTTACGATAACAGCCATAAACGACGTAGGTAGCATTGAATGACTTATGAGTGATGGGAATGGGACATTTATATAAATAGAAAGGGGAGGGATAAAAGGCTTGTAACTATGCGTCTAAGGTGGTAGGCTTCTAAGACAGCTTGGCGATGCTGCACATAATTCGAATTTACTACGTGCCGAAATGAAGTTACCATGTTACCAGATAATCAGCAATAGATGACAAAGTTACGAAGTAGTATTTAGACGGGGGTTTCGTGGTACGGTTGTGGTTGATATACGATTATTCCTGTGCCTTGGATTTTCCCTAATACCGTAAAAGATCGGGCAACTTGTATTTAGCCAAAATCCACATGTAGGCTACGTCGCAACTATACGACGTTGACGATCATACTACGTAGCTAAAATAGGTCCGCAGCGTTATGATAGCTCCCTAGAGCTTTTTTTTTTTTTTTTTTTTTTTTGGAGACTGATATCGTGAGATGTGGTACCAAATGTGGTGAACCTCTCCTGTCTCTTCCCCTTTTATTGTGCTGCCCACTTGTCTCCGAATTGGAGATAGGCAATACGTCGGACCCAATACATCGGTCTACTTCGTTATTATGGTACTATCACATGTTTCTGGATGTGTCGATGTAACTGTCCCCATCGAGATGTCCTGCGCCGCCGCTGACCCGGTTTGACCGAGTCCCTATTTTAGACGCGTTCATAAGACCACGTTTTCAGGTAAATAACAGATTACGGATCTTAGAAGATCCCAATGTCGCGGCCATAAGCTTAAGTCTAGGAAAGCCCAGACGTAGCACTAGCTATCCAGTTACCTGCCCGATTCTAGAGTAAGAAAACCTTTGCAGGTCGATCCTGTGCGCGTCCGTTGGTGACGTGGTGTTTCTAACGTAACCCATTCCTTACCACTTCTATTCTCCCTTATTTTAATATTTTTCTTCTTTCTGTAGAGCAGTACTTTCGTTACGATGAAGTCGCTTCCCTTCTGTCCCGTAGCGGCGCTGCTGCTCGCGGCACAGATGATCCTCCCGGCCAATGGTATTCCCAACTGTCCATACCCGGGTCCGGCATTCCCAAAGCCGACAGCACTTGCCTCTTCCGATAGAATTAAAACAGCGATCGCAAACCTGACGGCGACCTTTGACGCTCGGGGCATGGACCCGAGCACGAACCCAGATGGCACGTCGTGGTCGATTCAAGTGTTCTCTGCGTCCGATCCGGATGAAGACAAGCCTGTATGGAGCCATTACCACACAGCGACGGACCTGCTGGCAGCTGACACCCCCGGTGTGAAAAGCATCGACGGAAATACCGTGTACCGACTTGGTAGTGTCACAAAAATCTTCACCATTCTGACGTTCCTGATCGAGGCTGGAGACACATATTGGAACACCCCCGTGACGCAATGGGTCCCAGAGCTCGAGTTGCTCGCCGGAAAAGCGCAATACGACCCTATTATGAATGTTGATTGGGATAGTATTACGCTACAGGACCTGGCGAGTCATATGGCGGGTATCGTAAGAGATTGTAAGTGCTTTTCGTCGTTCTTACTATGATCTGAAAGTTGGTGGGACAAGGAGTTAGGTAACAGGGGAAAAATGAGGGAATGGGAATATAAAAGGATTATCAAGCTGAGACTGTGAAACCAATTTGTTAGATGCCATCGAGGGGGAATTGACGCAAGAACATGACCAAACCGTTCTGCAATCCCAGGGATTCCCACCCGCGCCCAGGAACGAAACGCCAGTGTGCGGGGAGGCTATAAAGTGTAATCGTGCCCGTAAGTCAACACCCATAAAAGTCCCGGATGCTCCTCCCTATACGAGAAAAGAGGGATAGGGCCAGGCAAGAAAGAGAAAAAAACGTAGGAGGAAATTAGCAGAAAGGCGTGCCAAAATATCTAACGGAATTCTCTCTAGAATTTTTCTCTGGACTGGCCGGCGTCCCTCCGTCTTTCTCGCCATCATGGACAGCAGGGTATTCGAATGCGGGATATCAAATATTATCTTACGCTCTCGAAGCCATCACGAAGAAGCGGTTCGCGGCGATGTTGCAGGCTGACGTTATCAACAAGCTCGGGCTCAAGAACACTTTCTACCAGAAGCCCGACGACAAGCTCGGTGTCATCCCCCAGGGCCAAGAAGACAATTGGTCGTTTAGTATCGGCGAGGCAAGCCCGTATGTTTCTCCTGGTCCTAGTCTCATCTTCCTTATTGATGACACTATACTAATGATAAAGCGAAGAACTGGGAACATGTACTCCTCGGTAGGAGATTTATCGCGTCTCGGTCGAGCTATCTTTCGGCACACGCTCTTACCGCCGGCGCAAACGCGGCGGTGGCTCAAGCCTACGGCGCTCACATCTGACATCCACGAGGGGATTAGTTCACCATGGGGTATCCGGCGCATCCCGCTAAACGACGGTAGCCGAGTAGTCGACGCGTATAGCAAAGCCGGTAGTATCAACGTGTATATGTCGCTGCTGGTGCTGCTGCCTGATTACGACGTCGGCATCACAGCGCTTCTAGCGGGTGGCTGGCCTGGAAACTCCAACTGGGACATGGCGGACGCGATCGGTGCGATACTTCTCCCCGCACTAGAGGAGACCGCGCGCGAACAGGCAGATGCTTCGTATGCGGGCACATACACAGCAGATGATGGCCTAAATAGCAGCTTGGTGCTAAGTACAGACCCGTCGCGCCCAGGCCTCGGAATCGAGAAGTGGATTAGCAATGGCACGGACATGATCCCGATCGCGATACGGTACACGCTGAATTACGACGTGACGGGGCCTGCTATTCGGCTCTACCCGACGGGGATAGAGACACAACCTCAAGGACAACAAGGGACCAGGAAAATCGCGTTCAAGGCTGTGGTTGAGAACCTCGACATCAAGGACCATAGCGGCGCCATGTTCTCGACAAATTGCGGTACGTGGGTTAGCCAGACGACGGCCGTGTATGCGGACATGCCGCTCGACCAGTTTGTGTTTACGGTTCCGCAAGATGGAAGGGCGGTTAGTGTCGTGCCGTTGGCGCTGAGGACGACATTGAATAAGAATGAATGAAGAGAAATGTATAAAGGTCTAAGATTATTTGCAATGATTATATTTTTTTTCAATAGATCTGAATCCACTTCATCTTGAAAGATCTAAGTATATCGCTGTAGATGGTATCGTCAAGAAAAAAGAATAGGGAAAGATAATAATATGACATTAAATATACGGCTACCAGTATATTGATAGCTCCCAACTCTCTCATCCTCCATTACCTATCTTATGCTAAAATCTATCTTCTAAGTAAAGGCTGATAGCCAAGTTGGCGAATGGAATCATTGCTTGGCACTTGTTGTCAGTCTGGATTGAATACCAAGCACAAGAAATAGCCGAGAGATCTTAATGTAACCTATTATAAAGTGATTCAGTAAGTCCCTTGAAGAGGACCGAATAATTCTGGAGAGACGTAGAAAGTAATCGACCGCTTATATCCTGAGTCTTGCTTCAGGCTCACCCAGGCGTGTATCCCACGTCCCTGGTCTAGGGGCCGTCGCCGTACCGCGTTTACGACTTTCTTATATCTCTCTTTACAAATAGGAGAAGCAGATACCTCGTCCAGGTAGCGTTCAATCCGCGCCTGGGCATCGGCGTCATTTTCCGCGTAGCTGTGAATGGGAAAATGAACAGTGCCCACGGGCTCGTTCGGTTTCTTGCTGGTAAACGCGAAACAGGACACCACTGGGGTCGAGGAATACCGACCATGTAACCCATTAGCCATCGACTCGCAGAACCTCTGGGTCTCGAACCAGGTTGCATCTGGACAGATACAGGTATGTTTATTCGCGATGGTGGATGCGGTCGCATCTTGATGTAAGATGTACACTTTGACACGGGCCTCCTCCTGGTTTGAAGAGAGGTCAAGTGAGAAGTAAATAATAGAGTCACCAGGAGTCATGATGCTCTCTACCAAGACCCACGCGTTCCCCAGGCCGAGACGTTCGAACGCTTCGCCTGTCGTAGAGAGAGCATTGCCTTTACCAGATACAGAAGGATTAAGATAAATCTTCCATTCTAGCCCCTTTTTTGTCGATGCACAACTATGCCAGGCGGCAAATACTCCATTTGGCTCATCGGGCAAGAAAAGGTCCTGGATAAGGCTATAACGATCTAGAGAGACACTTGCGTTGTATTTAGTTACGATGTCTGAATTCAGGCGACGCGCACTCTCCTGGAACCGTACCAAGCTATTCTCCTCTGATTGGGCTTCGATTAGAAAGCGTAGTTGCGCATCCCCGGTATCTCGATCTAACTGGACCGAGTACTCAAATGGGGAATGGTCGCAGCTGACACTGGAAATCCATCCCGTCCTATCTAGTTCTTTGGGTACTAGATTGTGGCCCCAATATTTCGTTGTAAAGGTCAGAGCCTCGAGCAGTTGATCTTTGGCTGTTACATCTTGCTCAATAGCTTGGGAAAGATCCGATAACTGTCCGCTAGCCTCACCGAAATAGGTCCCGCGGATAGTTGGATCCATAGCAATGGGCTCTGTTTTGTTGTCTTGTTCGGATAATGTATGCCCCTGGTTGTGTAGCGGTCCAATTAATTAAGATGATGTCGAGGTCCCTCAGATGGCTACTTGGAACATTCCCAACTACGAAAATATATATATTCCCCTTAAGGAGGTTTTCTTTTTGATTAGCTCTACAAGTGATGGGTTACTCAAGCCGGATTCAAACACAGTCACGGTATTGACAGAAGTGGTACCAAAAGATTAATTGTAATTATATGGCAAGCTCCTTCTGCTAGTGAATATCTCGCGATGATGATGATGATGATCTATTAGTGCTATAAGCTAGGAAGCTACATCGGGTGTATATATGGCGCTGAGATGTCCAAAGTATCTTCTTAAAGGGGGACAGAGCTAGAGTTTCGCCTGACATCAGAGACCCTCTACTTCTTGCCTACATGTATGCATTAGGTCCGTCCCCTCCCGACTATAGAATCATTCTACTTGGTTAGCGCCAGCGCCAGGTAGCTGACTTTTATTAGGAAATAAGCCATCAAGCACGCCTTTTTATAACGGAGTTGAAGTTGGAACCATCCTTAGCGCCTGGCAATACCTAAGGAAAAAACCGAGTCGGACCATTTTGATTAACTACGGCGGGATTCGAGCCTACTTGTGTTGGGTCTCGTGGTAGCGCCCTTATGAGCCTATGAAGAGGTTACATGAATCGTAGTGCGCACTGCTAGACCATTACTGATTCGGAAATATACGGTTGTCAGCGCAGAAACGAACTATATATAGGTAGCTTATAAGATACCCCTGAGGATTTCCCACTCACTTTTCTCTCATGGAGTAATACTGGAGTCTTAGAGAAACCTACAAGTCACGGGCATGACAGAAAGATTAAACATGCTACACTTAACAAATTGATGAATCTGATCTCTCCCCTGGTGTAGGTAGTCACTAGGAAGTGTCTGACAATGAGACGGTGTGAGGGCAACTCCCACAAACATAAATGAGACTATGATTTGCACCTCAAGACAAGTACAGTTCGAGAGGTAAGGTCCCATCAATCGACTTGGACTGCTGGCCATTTCAAACTACGCGATCGTAGGGGCTGACTTTGCTTTATAGGCTTTGACATTCTCAGCCCTCCTTCGCTAGTCGGCAAGCCGTTCAAAAGTAGAAAAGTTAGTTTAGGTGAATGAAGTTATTTACCTACTGGAAATGGAAGAATATGCTAATGCAGTTGTCGGTGTCTTGGGTGAAGGCCTCAATGTTGAGCAAAGGAAGCGTTTGACTATTGGTGTCGAATTGGCTGCCAGACCATAGTTACTAATTTTCGTTGACGAGCCCACCTCTGGTCTCAACTCTCAAACCAGCCGGGCCGTCTTAAACCTGGTCTCCCCTCTGTCGTACTGGGTCTCAGCGATCCTTTCTACGGGTTTGGCGAATGTTGAGGTCACATGCGCGGATAACGAATATATCATCATCATTCCACCTGAAGGTCAAATTTGTGGCGATTATATCTCCAAAGCGGGTGGCTACTTGCTTGACCCCGAAGCAACGAATAATTGCAGTTACTGCAAGATCAAGGATACGAATGTGTTCTTGGCGGGGATGAGTTCCGAATATGAAGTTAAATGGAGAAATTTTGGCATTGGGCGTTTATTATCTTTAATATCGCTGCCTCGTTAGGCCTGTACTGGTTATTGAGAGTGCCCAAGAAGTTGAAGAGGACAAAGTTGTAAGTAAGGGCAGCAATTCCGCGAATTCGGTCGTCATTTCTTAATTCTTACCCCCTAATGTCTCCACTCTTTCTCACGATACACAGCATTATGTACCTAGGTACCTGATGCATGTGCTTTAATATCAATGTCTTCAAAACGCTTTACGAAGGCTTGCTCATATCATTTTCATATATGTAATATGTTAGTTATAAATTCAGAATTGTAAATAATTACCATCATTCAGGCAATATGACAACTGTACGAACTTTTGAAAATGGTACTATGCACATTTATACGAACCGGTGTCCCAAGGCTCCGTTGCCGAGTATCTATCAATCCCATAAACTCCGTCCCTGACCTTGTCTTAATCATATGCCTTCCGTTTTCTTCGTCGCCTTATCTCATCATCATCATCTATGGATTCAACCCCAAGCAAATATGCCCGCTTCAATAACCTAGGCTTAGGTGACGTCGACTATTAATAGCATTAATAGCCCACCGAGTAAGCATTATCCCATACATTATCCTGAAAAGCTATTTCCAGTCGATCGATAATCGACCCGACCAACTCCCCCCCTTTATTTCAGTAAACCAAGGGCGCCACCTGATGGAGCAGCTGCACTAGCAGCAGCCTTGACACTCTCAAATACTCCCGACAATGCACGACCAACATCGCTGGTTAGCATCGGCTTCGCGTCTGGGCCAGCCTTACTGTCAACCCCGTGGCTATGGGCGCTGCTGACTTTGGTTAACTCGTTAACAAAGCTTTGACCCCACCACGCTGAGGTGTATTTGAAGACATATCTCTCCAACTTGCGGTAATTGGCTTCGCGCATCTCGGGGGACATGGTAACTGCGTCATGGATCGCATTAGCAAGCTCTTCTGTGTTCCAGGGGTTCACAATCAAGCTGCCGTTCAACGATTGGGCAGCGCCCGTAAACTCCGAGAGGATCATGACACCGTGGCGGTTTTGCTGAGTTGCAATGTATTCGTACGACACAAGGTTCATTCCGTCTCGCGTAGAACTTACGAGACAGACATCCGAAACCGCATATAGGGCGCACAGTTCGTCAAACTGGACGCTTTGGTGTAAGAAGTGAATGGGCATGAACTCGACCGTTCCAAACCGACCATTGATCCTTCCTACTAGCTCATTGACGACCGCTCTAAGATTCTGATACTCTTCGACGTCTTGTCTTGAGGGCACGGCCACTTGCACAAGCACGATCTTGCCGATCCACTCTGGATGCTCTGTCAAGAATACCTCGAGAGCGTGTAGCTTCTGCGGAACACCCTTGATGTAGTCAAGACGATCGACACCCACAATCAACTTTACACCCTCAAATTTGCGAGACAGCGAAGCTATCCGCTCCTGTACCTTCGGCTTCTTCAAACCCTCGACGAATTTATCTGGATCTATTCCAATGGGGAACGCTCCGACCGTTACAAACTTTCCTTTGTAGTCGACGCCGTTCGGTGTAGTCGGAGCCTCTAGAATACGCGAGCAGGAGCTAAGGAAGTGGCGAGCATAGTCGTAGGTGTGGAAACCTATCAGGTCGCACTGCAAAAGACCTTCGAGTAACGCTTCGCGAACGGGGAGGATGCGGTAGATTTCGCTACTGGGGAACGGGGTGTGGAGGAAGAAGCCGATCTTTACGTCTTTTCGGTCACCCAGCTCGTTACGCAGCATTTCAGGTAAGAGCATGAGATGGTAGTCGTGTACCCAGATCAAATCACCATCCTGAACGTCTTTCAGAACCGTCTTGGCAAATAGCCTGTTGACCTCCTTGTAAGCAGCCCAGGCGTTCTCGTCGAAGGTAATCTCTCCGGGATGGTAGTGGAACAGCGGCCAAAGGATCGAGTCTACAAGTCAAAGTCAGCATTAACTAGAAAAGCGTTTTCAATAGGACGGATTGGGCATACTTGAGAAGCCATTATAGTGCCTGTCGGCAAGTTCGTCGTCGACAAATATGGGGTGCGCATTATATTGCTCCTTGAGCTGCTGCTTTACTACAGGTATCTCGGCTTCGGGGACTTCCAGGCCAGGCCAGCCGTACCATTGGAAGCTTGTCGTTTTGCTCAGACCGCTCAACCCAGTGACGAGACCTCCAGAGGACATAGAGAAGTCGTAGTTTCCCTCATCTTTTCGTTTTATCGTAATTGGAAGACGGTTAGATACCAACAACAGCCGGCGGTCGCCGGTGGAAGACTCGCTCTCGGGCATTATTATAGTTATTAATATCCCAACCGTTCACTTGCCAATTATGATACTAGCAAGCAAGGATCGTATCGATGCGACCGTGCTTTAGAATATGAGGCGAGAGTCGGACACTTAAGGTGGGAGAATGCAAATTTGATCTATGAAGGTCTAAGTGAAAGAGAGGTGATACAAGACAATAGAGTCGGAGCACGAGCAGTGAGAAATAAGTGTGATTCGTTCAAAGACCTAGTGGCGTTTTATTAAATGCGTGATTGACTGATGACGAGAAGTATCAAGTTCTAATGTTGATAAGGGAGAAGGGAAAAAAGGAGGGGCCGCAGCGATAAATGGATGTTCGTAGGCGATTCGCTTTTAGGCGGGGATAGTTTTAGATGTGGTATGAATATGGTACATGTCGACGAGGTAGGTAATCATTTATGTACATGTTATTTACATGTTCAAGCGCGCAATCTGGTTGGGTCAAAGCCTTAGTTTGATGCAATCGAGATGCAAGAGCAGCGAAATCCCTCAAGACCCAGCCCCGCCGAGAAGTCAGAGCAAGAGCTTAGCCCACCAAGCCCACCAAGCCCCACCACCTTCTCTGCTTCTCTGCAGCAAGCCCGCTTCTTAGGGAGCTTTGGTCCGTTACGCTTTGGCCAACTACGTAATTTGATGTCCTTTCTTAGCGGGGCACTGCGGGGTCTTCGGGTAAGGTATCAGTTGTTATCCAAATGTCAGGCTAAAGTTAGTTGCTACTAGCCATGCTGTATTACGACACTATTACATAGATGTGCACATTTCAAACATTGAAAAATTGTGAACTTTCAACTTTTTATATGGAACTAAAATACCTACCTCATACATTCTTTCAAATCATAACTAAAAGGCGGCTTGATTATTTACATTCATGCAAGAGGAACTTTGTATCCCGATCATGTCTATCAATTATATGCTCCCAACTATAACCACATCGATCGTATTAGCTAATGGCCCTTACATGCCCATTAGTCTCACGATATTTCTAGAATTACATGTACAATTCTTACGTACCATAGACTGATGCTATTCCACCCAACGCCAGCGCCTATTTTAGCTTAGCTTCAGGTTCATTCACACGCTCATGAGGATTCTCGAAGCTACCATACCATGCTCTAATAAATCTTGGTAAAAATTACCCGGCATACACTATACGTACATGATGCACACCTTTAAATCCGTCAAATTCCAAGGTACCGGACATACAGTATGTAATACGGCTCAAGTCAACAACTTTCCGTCCTCGCCGTCTCCTACCGTCCAACCTAATACTTAATTCAACCAATCACCTCTTGAGATTCGACCCAATCGAGCGAATTCGAACCTGGGCCTTTCGGACCAAAATGTCCGTGTTGTCGCAACGTCACCTGCAATTGTACTTCGGAATAAGTTTCTAAGCCTGTTTCTCTTCCCCGTGGATGTAGCCCACCGAGATACACATAACACTCTCGGGGATCACGAAGCTTAATTCACACAGTTTCTTGACGCCTGCCGCGATCGAGATAAGCGTTCTGTCTAACTTGGATCGTATAAGAAGTCACTTACTATCATCCTTCCTAGTGGGCGCCTCTGGTTGGTCAGAGTAGAGCAAGACCTGCGAGACTGCTTGTTGGATATCGATCGGCAGTATGTCATTCTCCCGCATCATCTCGCCCTAGAAGTTGTTAGCAGTTGTTAACATGAGTTGAGCTTTGGGTCACCTACTCTCTTCAACAACCATCTCATCTGGTTATCTGCTGCATATTGGCCATTGCTAGGATCAAGAACACGATCCCGCCAGAGGTGTTTCTTTGGGTCAAAGTTCTCCATAATAGGAACCCCGTAGCTATATCTTGAGATGCGTGAAACGATAGTCGGTTCCATCCTGGGCGTCAACGGGGGATCGATGGCGCTATAGGACGGCAGGTCGTTTGCTGCTAGCGAAGGATGAGGCTTTCGTACTTGTTCCAATCCCCACATGCACGCACCACGGCATATGGCCGACGAACTATGCTTGTAAGTAGAATGCATCTTTCACGTTTTATAAGTTTGTCGAACTTATGCTCCATCTATTTGGAGAACCCTGACCCCTTCCGAAGTATAGGCGTTTTCAAGGCGACTATGAAGATACTTGCTCTCTCCGAATCCTCCAACCAGGAGGATAGCCTTTTGTTTTGTTAGTTATATATGTTCATGCCGTGGGAAGAGTTTAGGCGGTTATACCTTCACTTTAAGTCCCTGTCCTTGAATCTCCATCATCTGGTCCTGAACAAGAGTATCTATCTGACCACAAATATGATCGAAGACAGTGCGCAACATGTTGCTATGTAAGTTATGAGCGCAGGTAGGGATGCGACATGATCCTTTGGACTCACGCTTTAAGTGGCACATTATCATCTACAATACCTTCTTCCTCATTATCTTCAACACCTCTTAGGTCTACTGAGTAATCCTTGTTATCGTCACCCATAAATGATCGTTTGATACCAAACTCGAACTCTTTGAGCATATTCTTCTCTCAGCATTGATCGCGGATGTCTTCTTTTGTGTAGGCCCATAGAGCCCGCAAGTAGTCGGAAACTACCTCATCGGCAGTCTTGTTCAATTTGGTAAGAAGAGCATTGTCCTCAGGCTCAAGAAGTATCTTGATCCAACGAAAGCTGTCCTCTCCCATTGTAACCTCGTATCCCCAGTTACTAACTTGGCCATTTCGATACGAGATAACTGATAGAACTTTTCGGCATTCGCGTCAACGGCTTGTGGGTTTGTCCAATCAGTGATAAGCCAGATCTTCTTCTGGTCCTCGTTTATAACTCAGGAAACTCCCGAGTGTCTAAGCATTGTGTTATTAGTGAATCATTTATTAGATATATTCCGGCGTAGATAACTGACGTTGTTCCGAGGTCTATACCGACAACTATTTTCGGGCCAAGCAAGTCCACGGATATAGCTGCTGTAGAAATACGAGAGCTAGAAGCAGTAGAGCTTGCGAGAACTTCTATTACGAAAACTCATTGTAGCTGACTATTAAAGACAGGATACTAAAACTATATGTCTAATAAGAAATATGGGAATATTTCGAACTCAACATTAAGTGGACTAAATCGAGTAACAAAGAGTCTTCCGGGGGCCTATTTACGGCTTTCCAAGCTAGATCTACTCAAGTCTTAATAGAAAACTCCAAGTAAATCTATCAGGTAAACTTACTAGGGTCAGTTTAGGCACATATTAGGTGATATGTAAAGGGCAGCTAGTCATCAATTGTAGCAAGGGCTGTAAAGGCTTAAAATATAATCAAGATTATTAATAATTTTTTAAAGTTTTAAAGTTTTTAATTTTTCTTTTCTTTTTAAAAGGAAATTTTAACCTATTTATAAATAATTTAAAGTACATATTTTTTGGTTTAATTAAATTTTTATTAATATATTAATTTTACTTATATATAATTATATAATTTTATAATATTTTTTATTTAATAAATCTTAAAATAATTATTTTATATTTTTTATTAGTTATTTTTTTTAATTAATAATTTTTTAATATTATTATTTATATAATACCATTTTTTTTTTAAACTTATTTTTAAACTAAAATTTTAAATAAAAAATATAACTTTTTTTAATAAAATTTAAAAGTTTACCGGCTTTTTTAAATTTTATTAATAAAATATTAAAATTATTTATTTAACGCTTTTATTATTAAAATAATTAAAAGGTTTTTAAGTTTAATACTTTTTAATTAATTAACTTTTTTATTTAATTAAATATTTTATACTTTTTTAAATTTATATAAAATTTTTAACTTTATTTATATAATATTTTTTAAACTTTATTAAAATTACCTCCCGTAAAACTTAATTAAAATTAAATAATATTTAATTATTAATGCGGTAAAATTTAATAAATAAAACATAAAATAAATTATAAATTTTTTACCTTTTAAATAAATAAAATTTAATAACGGTAAAAAAAATTACTTTTTAAATTTTAAAAAAGCTTAACATTTTTTTATTTAACTTTTTAATAAATCGTTTTATTTTAATATTTTTATTATTTAATATAATTAATTAACTTTTTTTAAATTTTAATATTTTTTTTTTTTTTATTAATTTAATTTTTTATACATTAATAACTTTTTTCCAAATATTATTATATCTCGATATAAATTTACTTTATTTAATATATATATAATTAATTGTTTAAATTTCGAAAAATATTGGTAAATAAATTATAAATTACGGAATAAAAGCTGTAATTTACGTAAAATAATGTTATATATAATAACGTTAATTTTAAATTATTATATATAAATTTTATTGTTAATAATAAATCTTTTTAATTAATTATTTTATAATTAATAAATATTTAAAAATAAATTTTAAAAGTTTAATTAAATTGTTTTATTTAACTGTTGGTTTAAAAATGGAAAATTATACTTATTTATAATTTAATATTTATAAATTTAAAAAAGTTTTATTATAAATAAGTAATAAATTTAAAATTTTAATCAAAAATAATATTTAAAGAAATTTTATATAATTTTTAATAAAACTTAACGAAAATCTTAATTAAATCCGCAGTTTTTTTTTCTTTTATTTTAAAAAATATAAAATGTATTATTTTAATAAATAAGTTAACCATAATTTAAATAAAATTGCAACTATTAAATAAAAGTAAATTAATAATAAAGTTTATAATAATAATATATTATAATATATAATATAATTTTATAAATTAAAATAAACCATATAAAATATATCGGTTTATTTTATTACGTTAACATTTTAAACATTTTTTTACAAAATTTCGTATAATAATTTTAATATTAAACCACCAAAAATTTTGTATAATAAATTTTAAAATCTTATTTATTTTTATATATTTTACCATTAAAATATTATATTTTAATTTTATAACCTTTTTTTAAAATATTTAAAGTATTTATAAACGTTTTTTTTTTATAAAAAATTATTTTATAATTTGAAATTATTGCCTAAATTATCCTTTTTTTTTATATATAATAAGTTATTTTTTTTTAATTTTTTAACTTATTTTATAAATTTAAATAACCATTTTAAAATTAAAAAATTATTTAAATAATTTAATATAAAAATAATTATTATTAAATATATTATATTAAAATTAAATAAATGTAAAAAATATTTCTTTTATAATATTAATATAATTAATTAATATTTAACTTTTTTTTTTTAAATTAATATTATAATAATTTAAATAAAATATTAACTTTTTTATTTTACTTTTTAAAGTAATAATTAATAATAAATTAATATAATAAAAGTTATTATGTTTATTTTATTTATTTTTTATTTAAAATTTTAATAATTATAAAATAAAATAAATTTTAATAATTAAAAAATATTTTAATTTAATATCATACTTTTTTAAAATAATGTTTTTATCGATTAAAAGAATTAATAATTATAAATAATTTTTTATTATATATTTTATAATTTATTTCCGTTAAAATTAACTTTTAAAAATAAAAAGCCATAAATTAAAACTTTATTTTTTTATCTTTTTAAAAAAAAACAGCTTTAATAACAAAATCTAAAACATTAATTTCGAAAAAAACTTATAATTTAAAATTAAAATAAATAAAAATTAAAACTAACGTAAATTTAACTTTTAAATTTTTAAAAATTTTATTTATTTTTAATATCCATTTTTAATTTTTTTTATTTCTTTTATTAATTTTTATAATAAATTTGATTATTATTAAAAATCTTTTAATAAATTATTTATAAAAATTCGTAAAATTTATAAATTATTATAACTTTTTAAAATTAATTAATAATTTTTATTTTATAATATATTTAATTTTATCTTTAAATATAAAAATGTTTTAAAAATTAATAATATAATTTAAAAATTTTATTTTTTAAATTATCCATTTATATTTATATAAAATAATTATAAAATAATATATAATAAATTTTTTTAAAATTTTTTTAATTTTTTTATTATATTTTTTTTAAATAATAATATATATAAATAAATTATTAATATATATTAATAATTTATTATTTATTATATCTTTAAAAATATTATTTATTAAACAAGGTTATTAGTTTTAAACTTAAATTAAACCTTTATATTAAATTTAATGTTATGGTTTAAGTGATGTTATAATAAATAAAAGGAATAACTTATATTTAATGTAATTAAAGTTATGTAAAATAAGTATGTGTAACCATAAAAGGTATTTATACTAGGAATTTTAATAAAATAAAGTTATATAATTAAATAAAGTTATTTAATTAAATAAAATTAAATAAAGTTATTTAATATATGGTTTTTATTTAACCTTTTTTTTAAATTTAATTAAGGTTACGAGATTAAATTTAACTTATAAATAAAAGCTAAAAAAGACAATAAAAATAATATAATTAAAAATCGAATCTTAAATTTTAAAAAAAAGAAAAATTGCATTGTTTAACTATTAAAGTAATAAATTAAGTTTTTCGTAATATAGCAATTTATTTTAATCTTTAACTTTAAATTATATGCCGTATATCCAATTGTATAATTGTATAATTTAAATGACTTGTTAAAATTAAATTAATTATCTTTAAAATATTTTATATTATTAAATCTTGTTTTTTAACCATATAATTTTCGTATAATAATAAAACCGATTGTAATATTTATTAATAAATTAAATATATAATAAACGTATAAAAAAAGATTATAATATAATTGGCCTTACTTTTTTAACAATAAATTTAATTTGATTTAACTTGATTTAATTTAAATTAACTTAAAAAAAATACCTTTAGCACAATTTTTCTCTTTCCTTTTTTTTTTCGTATTGTATTATAATAGTTTTTATAATTAAACTATTTACCTTTTTTAATATTTTAATTTAAATAATTTAAATAAACCTTTATATTAATTAATTTAATTATTACTTTTTTTATAATAAACTGGTAATAAATTAACTAATTTATTAATTGATTAATTAAAGTGTTTTTTTTATAGTTAATTTTTTGTAATTAATCGTTATTGTTTTATATATTAAATATAATATAACTTAAAAAGTATTATATAAAAAACTATTTTAAATGTTTTAATAATTTTGATAATAATGTGGTATTTACCAGTATTTTGCCGATTTTATCTCCGTAATCTTTTATATGTATTTAATAAAGTCTTTTTTATTTTTTAATATTTAACTAGTTAAAATACGCTATAACCCTTACATATTATCTTTATAACTATTTTAATAAACTATTTTAATAAACTGTATAATAATATTTTTTAAATCGTATTATATTTTATATATTTTAATTTTAATTAATAGGAATAATAAAATAAAAAAATCGACTTAATTAATAAATAACGTGTTTAATAAAGTTATTAATAAAGTTATTAATAAAGCCGATAATAAACTTGTATTAAATTGTATTAATTGGTATTAAAAGTTATAATGTTAATTATTATAATTACTTAATAACGTAGTTATTTAATCAGGTCACGATAAGGGATTTTTTTTCGATAATAATAATGGTCCATTTTAAAATTAAAGTTATGGTTTTAAGTCGTTAAATGGTTGCCATTAAATAAAGCTATTAACTTTAAACTTGGATTAAATTTTTATATTAAATTTAATGCCATGGTTTAAATAATACTATAATAAATAAAAAAAATAACTTATATTTAATATAATTAAAACTATATAAAATAAATGTGTGCAACCATAAAAGGTACTTATACTAGGAATTTTAATAAAATAAAGTTACATAATTAAATAAAGTCATTTAATTAAATAAAATTAAATAAAGTTATTTAATATATAACCCTTGTTTATTATTATAAATTAAAAGGTAATAAACGTATTATTTAATCCAAAAAATATAATAAAATATTTATAAAATTTATATTTATATTTAAATATTATTTTTTATTTATTATTTTATTAAATATAAATTAAATTAAATTTAACTTTTAAATTTATTTTAATAAATTATTATAAAATTTAAAATTAATTTTATATTTTTAATATAAATGAAATAAAATAACGTATAAATATTATTATTATATTTAATTTTTAATAATTTACTATTAAATAAAGTAAATTTTTAAAATTAAACTTTAACACAAAAAATATTAAAAATATATAAAAAAAGTGGATTTATAAATATATTTTATATTAAATATATTTTTTAATTATAATTTAAAAATGTTAAATTTTTTTTTATTTATAACATAAAAAAAACTTTATAAAAACGTTTTTTTTTTTATTAAATTAATAATATAATTTTATAATTAATATTTAAAAAAACGTTTTTTAACCTTTTTATTTATTATAAATATAAATTCTTTAAATTTTTTAAATATTTTTAAAAAAAGGTTATTATAATTATATTATATTAATATAATATATTTAATAATAACCTTTTTTATATAATAACGTTAATAATATTTAAATAAAAAATATATTTTATTTAAATTTAAAAAAATATTTACAAATTAATAAATTTTTAACCATTATTATAAGAAAATAAAATTATATTTATTATCCATAATATTAAACTTGAAATTTAAATAAATATAATATTTTATTTAATATTTAAATATTAAAAAATTTATATAATAATAACTTTTTTTTTTTATATAAATAATGTTAAAAGATATAATCATTTTTAGCATATTTTTTTTTATTTTAAAAAGATTTTATAATTTAACTTTAAATATTAATATAATAAGTATAATTGTTTTTATATTAAATAATATTTTTATAAAAAAATTTTATTTATTAAATATTAATATTATCTTTATTAAAGATTTTTTTTTTAAATAAAATTTTTTTTGTTTTTTTTTTTATAATTTATTAAATTTTTTAATTAATTATTTAATTGCGATAAATTAATATAAATAAATACTTTATTTTTATTTTAATATTCCATAAAATATAATATAAAAAACTTTTAAAAATCCAAATTATTATTATTAATTTTAATAATAAAATAAAGTTGGTTAATTTCTTTTATTATTGTATTTATTTTAACTTTTTTTACAAATAAAAAAGTTAATTATTTATCATTATTATATTTTTATTTAATTAAAAAGATTTTATAATTTAAAAATACTAATAATTTTTTATTATTAATATTTTTTTTAATAAAATAAGTAAAAATATTATAAATATTACATTTATATTGTTAATATACTTTTTTATTTTTTTTATATTAATTAATATTTATTTAATTAATTTTTTAAAAAGCTTTTTTATTTAAAGTTTATTAATTATTTTTAAAATTAAACTTTAATTTACTAATAAATTTAAACCAATCTTTGCTTTTTAAAAATTGATTTTAATTTAAATTAAAATAAATTTTTTTACCACGATTTTATTAATTTAATTTTAAATACTCCGTTATTAAAACAAGCTTTTTTTTTACCGTTAAAAATCCCGGGTTAATTAATATGTTTTTATAAATTTAATTAGTTTTTTAAATTATAATAAAATTTTTTTTATTATTATTTAAAATTTTATTTTATTTAAAATATATTAATTTAATAATTTTATTAAAAAAGATTTTAACGATATGGTTTTAAAAAATGGTTTTAAATTATTAAATAATTTTATTAAAATTTAAAAATTTAATAATATATTAAATTATATTTTTTATATATTTAAATTTATATATTTTTTTTAAGTTTTTATATTTTTTTAAAAAATCTTTAAATTATTTTTATAAAATTAATACATAATTAACTTATTAATTTATAAAATAAAACCGTTTAATTTAATTAAAATATTATTAATATTATAATTAAATTTTATTTATAAATAATAATTTTATTTAATTAATGTAAATATAATTTTTGGGGAAGTTTTTTGCATAAATTTTTAAATATAATTTAACTTTTATTTATTAAGTTTAAAATTTAATAAAGTTTTTACTATTATATATAAATAATTTATTTAAATATATTGGATTAATAATTATAAAAATAAGTTTAATAAGCTTTTTTAATGTTTGCAATAATTATTTTTTAATGTTATTTATATGTTAAAGCTTTAAGTTTTATTTAAGCTTATTAAGTTTTAAAAACGAAAACTTATAAAGTAATTTTTAAAATAAATCTTGTAATTTTTAATCGTTATTATTATTATTAAAATTTCCTGGGTTTTTTCCTAAAACTTTTACTAATATATAAAATGGTTTTAATTTTTATTTATTTCCTTTTAATATAATAAAAGGTTTAATATATATTTTTTTAAATTAAATATAAATATTTTCCGAAATTTATTTAATTTAAACGTTTTATAATATTTATATTAATAAAATACTTTTAATTTTAATTTTTAAATTAAAATATTTAAACGGAAATATTTTTATTATTATTAATTAACAATTTTAAAAAGGTTAATTAAAAAAAAGCTTTAATATTATTTTTTTTTTAATATTTTATAAAATTAAATTTATAAAAATAAATTAATTAATTATTAATTTTAAAGTAAATTTAATTAATATAACTTTTATATAAATTTAAAATTTTTTTAATTATTTCCAAAAATATTCATTTATATATATTAAATTAATATATTTTCAAATTAAAAAATCATTAATTTAACCTTTTTTTAAATAGTTTAAATTATTATTTTTTTTAATAAATTTTTTTAAAATTTTTATTAAGTTTAAAAATTTAAAAAAACTTTATATTATTTTTAAACAACATTTTTTAATTTAATAATTATTATTTATTATATTTTATTATTATTAAAAAAACATGCGATTATTTTTTAAACCTTTTTAAAAAATATTAAATTAAATTATTTAATTTATTATTTAAATTAAATAATTTATTTAATTAAAATTATTATATTAATTTAATATATTTATATTATAATATTATATATTATTTATAAAGTTTAATATTACCGATTAAATTAATTTTAATTATTTTTATAGTTTTTATTTATTAAATATATAAAAAATTAAAAAAATTTATAAATTTTATTTATTTATTTATATAATTAAATTAATTAATTAAATAAATTAATAATAATAAAATTAATAATGTTAATTTTAAATATATTTTATATAATTATTTTATAATTTTATAGTTTATATAAAATAAAAATATAATTATTATTTAAATATATTAAACTTATATTATTAATTTAAATCGAAAATAATTCTAAAATATTAAATTAAATTAAAAAACATTTCCAATATTTATTTTAAAAATATTTTTTAAAAAAGTTTTAATTAAAAGTTGGTTTAATCATACGTTTATAAAATATAAAATTTTTAAATTTTTTCGTAAATTTCTTTTTTAATTAAATAAAAAAAAAAAAAATTTTTAAAAATATAAAATTTAATATAAAAAAATACTTTAATTTAGTTTTTTTTTTAATAAATAATAATGGTAAAAAAAAAATAATTAAAATAAAAAAAAGATTATTAATACGAAAAAATAATAAAAGGTTTTTTTTAAATTTTATTAAATTTTAATTTAAAATTTTAATATAAAATAAAATAAATAATAATTTAAAATACACATACCATTTTAAAATGTTAAATTTTCTTAAAATAATAAAAAATTATTTATAATAAAAATTATAAAAGCTTAAAATATAATTAAAATTATTAATAATTTTTTAAAGTTTTAAAGTTTTTAATTTTTTTTTTCTTTTTAAAAAAAAATCTTAACCTATTTATAAACAATTTAAAATATATATCTTTTAGTTTAGCCAAATCCTTATTAATATATTAACTCTACCTACATATAGCTACATAATCTTATAATATTCCTTATCCAATAAATCCTAAAATAATTATCTTATATCTCTTATTGGTTATCTTCTTCAACCAACAGTCTCTTGGCATTACTGTCCGTATAACATCAATCCTCTAAAAGTAATAACTGCAACAATGCGCCGCCTGTTACAAGGTAAAACTAAACAGTATGGAAACAACTTCGTTATTCCGCAAGGAACTCTAAACTACCTCCTATGAAGACCTCTCGTCTATACATACTGAACAGCTCCTTTATTCTAGATGTCTCATCTAGAATCCTGACACCGCCGCCCCTAAAGCCGGTCCAACCCTATGTTCTAGGGAATTTTATGATAGTATCATGCCAAATTGGCACTTAAAACACCATAGTGGAATTCTGGTATCGACTATTGGATTCTGGAACAAACTCGTCGGGGACTGGTAGATGTAGAGTAAGCCCTATTGAATTTAGGCTAGTTCGAACCACCATTCTCGACAGCCATGGAATGTAAACATAGAAGCTAATATAACGGTGTTGTTAGGGCATACCATAACATTGAACAGCTTTCACTAATGGCGTGCTGTTACGATGGCTCGCCTCGCAAAGAAGTACCCCGACTTCACCGAGGAAGATTTCGTGATAGAAAACGTAGTATCCGTGCTCAAAGTGATTAATCCCCTAGGACACGATCACGATCCGACCTAGCGGCTCATCGAAAATGTGTACAAGCCGGCGCTAGAACTCTCTCGCTTGCTCCGGCGCCAACGCACCTCATGGTCAGTACATTTCTCAGCTACCAGACAACAGATTGTGCCAGGCGGTAATACCGCCGCGATACACACCGCTTTACGAGCTATCTTTGATGATGGCGTCATGAAGGATATGGATCTAGACGAGGAAGAGATACCGTCATCGGATCAATATTGTCATAAATACGTTGAGATCATCGTCGGCCCGGCGCTTTTCAAGAGCGGAAATATTGATGGAGAGAAATATGACATGGAGAATGTGATGGAAAAGGCCGAAGTGTCTTGTGCTCCAGCCCCGAACTTGACTTCTGGGTGAAGACCGTTCTTTAGATGAAGCCAATGAGATTAGCAAGTAGTTTTTAACTAGATTTATGTGTACTCAATTTCAATCACGTTAATTAAGTTAGAGGGTATGACTGCTTTGCTTTAAGACCGTCGGTATGATTGTTTTTTTTATTATTAATTATTATTATTTACTTGAATACCGTGCTGCAAATACCCCCTATTTTTGCGACATTCCAATGTCGCCGGTGTATTTTGGTTACGCACTCATTTGTCTAATTCTTCACTAATTCCATAGGTAGTTAATGTTTACCTGTTTATCAGTTGTATTCCTTTTAAGATATTTTAATGTAGGAGTGCATAAAAATGCGAGGTCTTTTTACAACTTCATTGTCGCTTTCCGTGCGACAAGCTAACATTCTCTAAGTACCTAGGTACCTTTACTGTATTCTATTACCGTAGGCTCGTTTAGCTAGGATTTTGAATGAAAGCATGTGAATTTAATTCCCCGAATAATGTAATTGTTTGTAGTTGCTCATAGGTCTACTCTCGGTCCGAACATCTCTTTGTCATTACTGTTAACAATGTATTCGGCAACTCCGTGACTTCTTTAGTCTTGGTAACTACTTCAAGATATATACCTTCCCCAAGGGTAAAGATAAAGATTTATAGTCCTTTATATGACTTAAAACTGGATACCCCAAGTACAAGTGTCATTAATCCATTATTGCACTGGCATATCCTAAGAGTTTCATTAGAATATGCTACAGGCGGATAGACACGGTATATCGATTATAGTCTTAAAGGCATATGTAAATTTTCTATGTTTTAGCGGTATGAAAACCGTGGGATTAGCCATGGTGGATTTAGTAGATTTCCTCTCCTGGAATAGGGATAGTCTTATGCTACTATATTAATCCTCCGTTCATACCTTAGATAATAATCATCCAAATGACAAAAGCGCAAAGCTATCGTGTAATTCATATATTTTATCCTTGTTAGCTAGGGTTTACAAGCACGTGTTAAACATGCCGATGGTGGTGTGGTGTGGTTACAACGAAGCATCCCACTTGCTGTGTACCTACATACATATATGCTTCGGATGATTGCATCGTCGATCATCTGAAATGACGCAAAGAGCGCTGAAAGTGAATTTTAAAACTTAATAGACTAACATACATCCATGCCTGATTATGCTATATACCAAACACTCCCTGGGGTATAGATTCTAAGGAATGTTCTAGGCTGGCTTTTCTTCTATCCCAAAGGGTATCATTATATGGCTAATCGAATGTGATTGCCCATTGTCGTATCGTAAGTCTTTCCGTAACCCCAACGCCTATTCTGCATCGATGCGAATGCGATACAAGATAAAAATGTCATGATAAATATTTAATAGAAAGCGACCGTAGCGGACATCTACGGTATACCATCCGAAAGCTAGTAGTCGTAACGGTAACACAGGTAACCACCCATGGTATCCATAACGTTACCGACGGTGGTGTTGGGTTTCAGACCGTTGGAAGAGAGGACATAGTTCATAGTGATTTGAGTGCATGGGTTGTTCGCGTCAGAGCAGCCGTTGATAGAAGTAGTGCGCGAGGCGTCGGCGTTCTGCCAAATTCGGAACGAGTGATCGACGAATAGATGGTGCATGAAGAAGATCGGATCTCCGGGCGAGGCCTGAACTTCGGCCATAACTGCACCAACACCGTTGTGGCCGTAGCCGTGTGGGCTACGAGCGTTTGTTAGCTAATATGAATCTAGAATAGATTGAGGGGCTAAAACTTACCCAAGTTCCTGGCAACTTCGCATGTCATCGTATGAGGTGCGGGAGTTGCAGTCCTGAACAAATTGAGCGCTGACGGTACCAGTCAAGCTCTCATCGACAGCTCGCGAAAGACAATGATCTTGGAACCCACTGCCGGGGCCAATGTGAAGCCTGAGTCCACCAAATGTCTATAACAGTTAGTCTACGCCCGGCTTTTGTTGTTTGAGGTAAAACTGAGAATACTTACACCCGAGTCAATGCAGGTACCTTGGCCGTTGGAAGTCTTTCCGGGAAGGGGACCGAAATACTCATCGGTGAAAAGATCCGAGTCAGCAAAGTGGCCAGCATCTTTCGTCTCGTCCCACCATGGAAAGGCTGCGTTGAAGCCACATTCGTTCCGCATCAAATCCTCGAAAATAGAGACGTAGTATCGGTGCCAAGGTAGGAACGTGGCACGCTGGTGAATGTTAGGAGTCATTTGCTGGTGTACCGATACGATATCTTCGTAACGGCTTGTTGAGCCCTGGAATCCTCCAGCAGAGGGCTTGTCCATTAGACATTTGATGGCGCTGACAAAGGCTTTCCGGTCATCTGGGGAGTAATTCCGCCATTCGACGCGAACCTTTGGGTTATTTCGATCACATGTGCCATCAGCAGCAGCGGCACTCGTGGTGACAACTTTATCCTCTCCAGCAGCGGGGCTCTTATTGCCACCGATGATCTTGGGGAAGTTGAACTGAGGTCCGTCGCTAAAGGGGCCCTTTATTTTCTCGGCTTGAGCATGGGCTTGTTCAGGTGTAATAGTCGGAAAGCTGCCGAACTGCGTGAGGTCGATAAGAGTTAACCGCTTCTCAACGGAGCGGGGAACGGTCAGAGCTGACACGGCGACGGCGCCGACGAGAGCCTGGGTAGTGAACGCGAATCGCATTATGCCGATCAGTCGGGATCGATCGTCTCCTTGGAAGGTGATTACTATTATTATATTGAGGCTAGCGAGGGTACGACGAGAAGGTCCACACAAAGAGAATGATAGAGCTCAGGGTGCTAGGGTTATTATTATTAAGGGTTTTGATGTAAGACAAGATTCCCAATGCATCGTGGGTAAGATCTAGTGATGGACGAGGCTCTTTAAATGTTGTGCTCTTAGAGCTCTAGAATACAATTGACGATCGTCATCTTAGGACAAGACGCTGATCTCTTTCAATGTATTTTGGTAGTTGTTTTCAAAGGCAATGTTCCGGCACAAAGATCCTAGGAAACGTCAGAGCTCCTACATGCTGATTTGCAGGAACAGTGGAAATAAGACGGGTACTTCTAGGATATTTGCGGTTAGGAAATCTTAAAAGCGGTTATGATGGGTTGGCGCTTGTGCCAAATGAGGCTGTGAGCTGAACCCCTAACCTGGCAGGGGTGTTGCCATGTGTGTGTAGTATTACATACCTACCATCGAGCGCCTAATGCAGCGGCAGAGACTGCAAAGTGTTGCCAAATACGAGAATTGGGGGCGCCGGGCGTCACCGCACGTATTTGCTGGCAAGAATACAAAGCAATATGCTGTGTTTGGTCTAGCCCTTGACGATCACCACCGGTCTTTACCATATTTACTATGTGTAACTGTCGACTCGAGCGGGGACACAAAGCGTGGGTCCTTTTCTTTTTATCAGCCATCGATTCTTTGCGTCAGACATACCTACCATACCTACAGTCCCGTTCTCTTGGGGCCGATTTCCACGATAGCTTTAACTGTGCCGGCTAGGCCGAGCCCGACTAACCATAGTACTATACTGTACGATGCGGTGCCGCCAATGCGGGGTTTGCAGTAGTTGTATTCTTGTTATTCCCGACCGACCGTATCCTTGAAGTCATAAGAGCCAGGATGGCATGTTATGACGTTAAGATCATGTTGGTCGGTCTAGATATGAGACTAATCCTCGAGACCTGAATAGATGAATTTCGTTCAGATTTACCGGTGAATGTTGGCGGCGCGGTCTAGCCCCCCTCCTCGCCATCAATGGCATCCCTCGCGTGTTTATTAATATAAAACCTGGTTTAAACATGACCGTTCTGACTTTGAGCTATAAAAAAAGGAATGAAAATAAAAATAAAAATCCGCTAAAGGGCTGGGCCGTTATCCGAACGGCGCCGGTATACAGGACAACATGCAAACACAACGGTGCATATTTCCGAGTTAGTTGGTTTGGTACTGCTTGCAAACTACCTACATGACGTCTTTAGCACTAACAACACCATCCATGTAGGTAACAAAACGAGAGAGCCAAAGTGTGACATCTTACGAGGAATACATTAAGTCAGGTACGCTAGTAAGTAAGTGGAAAGAAACCCTTCGGCCACGAATGGCTATCCGTAACTTTCTGTGACCAAATATCGTCACCGCAAGCTTTAATAATACGTCTCGAGTCAGCCCTAGGCGTCCAAGGAGATTGACACTGGTCAGCAGGTCAATTAGACTGTCACTTCGCTTCGCTTTCTTACAAGGTCCCTTATGTGAAATGACTTCATCGATTATTTTGTCGGGCTCTTAGCTTACCTTCTTCACGAGGAGATTTTTCATGCTTGCCGCATCCTAAATCCCTTCTTAGCCCTCGACTAACTAACCGACGGCGTCGGAAATCGCAAGAGACCCATCCTGCGCCGTAGCGGCGGGGTCAATGAGCGGCATCGGACATTACCGCATTCAGCCTCACCAACTACTAGATCTTGGCAGTCGGTCCGGCCATGACCTACATCATACGCTTGATTCGATCACTTTATCTCAGAACACGAGAATTCCGAGCATGCCGTTGATGACGCGGGTACCGATGCGAAATGCTACGTGTAACACGATGAAGACCTCTTGTTAGTCCGCTACGAAAGGGTATGAAAATTCGGTGTGAGAAAATAAAGCCTGTCTGCTACTCCTACCGCATATGTAGGGTGAAAAGAGAAGTGTTACTGCTTTACTGCTGTGCAACATATCGCACTACATATGATATATAGCCCACGTCCAGTTTCGGTCTGCTTAATTGGTTTGCTTCCATCTTACTCGGGTCCGGATTCACAAGCCGGCCAATTTCTTCGTATCCCGTATGCACGAAGACATTGAATCTTCCGCAACATGCGAATATTCTCAGTCAACTTGAGAGTAGGTTTGACGGCAATATACGGCTCTAGTTTTACGTATAGAGCCTCTTGAGGCTTCTTGAGAAGCACTTTATCGTCTAGAAGGGGGTTTCAAAGTTTTTCTCATAACTATAGCATATCCGATTCTTGACGTCTCGTTAAAGTTATTTTGCATTAGGCGGAGGCTTACCAACGGTATAGAGACAATCATCCAGCGCGGCACTAGCCGTTGAGATATCCCTAGCGTCCAGTCTAATTAACAGGTATATGCATGTTTATGTAGTATACACTATGCACAACAGAGCCAAGCCCGTCCAGAACACGACTACAAGTTACACCGTCGTAAGCCCTTACGATATGAGACTTCTAGGTGGGACACCGTTATCAAAGAGATTGTGAAGGACGCCGCCTTCGGACTTCTAGTTAAGACTTAAAAAAATACCTAATAGGGCTGTGCCTGCATAAAGATAGGGGCACTAGCAACTCCGGTAAAGTATATATGGGTAAGTTGTCGATGCAATTACAAATCTCCGTAGTCGCTAGTGTCGCAAGGGGATGACGAATCACCAATAAATGGATCTGACGGCTTTAACTATCTGCTGGATGTTTCAAGCCGGAGATGTTCGGACCGCCCCGTTATGCTCAAACGGGTATGTTGTAAGACAATATGAGCCTCGATAAATTAGGTCGCCCTACGCCTATGTATCCCTTAATTCAACAAGTCTAAGAGTAAAATAGAAGACTTTATTGGATCTAGGAATAACTATAAGTGGAATAAGTGGAAACAACCCATTCAACCCTATACACTACACAAAGATCAATGATCTATTTACTCTCACATTCGAAATATTGCTTGCTGTGCCTAAGTTAAGATCGAGTGGTTTATAGATGTACGTACCTAGGCACGTATACCTTCCATTACTTGAAAAACAACCAAATAAGTATAATGCGTTACACTCCAACGCCGAATTTCAACTATACTCCTAAAGAATATTTTCTTTTGAATATAGCCGACCTATTTTTATGGCATTGTGGGTTATAGCTCAACATGGCTCAGTCGGGCACTCCGCACCGTCCAAGCCAACAGTGATAACCTCGAATAAAGAGGACATTTGCGGTTTCCTTGGCATATATGAAGGTTCTCTTTCATGGTTATCATAACAAAAGCTAAGTTCAAGAATAATACCCTGAACAAGAGATATCCTGTTCTAAATTGCCGGCGATTATATAATATGCTTTATAGTAAGTTAGTAGCCTCGTCAGCTTTCACGCCAATCGCATTATATCTATTGTTGATGAAATGCCTTAGTTCTGATAAAGAAGTACCTATCAAAGACTTCTGTCGCCTCCAAGAACTTATTTTATTCACAAATATGAGTGAAACACCGCCTGAAACTTTCGTAGAATTTCTAACATCTAATACATTCAATGACCTTCCAGATGACCCAGATATGTCTTCCCAGCGCGAGATCTTCTGGCATCAGATAGGACCGTCCAACGCAGGATTCTCTAAAGGAGATCTTGAGTTCATGAAGCAAGAAGAATACCTACGAATGAAATGGCCATGTTCGGAAGCTATGCCAGAATCATTTGACCCAGACACATTAGAAACCGCCAGGCAAGCTAGGTTCAAAAGTGTTAATGAGGATAAAAGTACGACTGAGATTAGTGCTGGGGTTTCCTCGAAAAATGACACCGAGTTACACGACTCGAATGCTGAGGGACAATGTAAGGTGGACGAACAGGTGTCAGATGTAATACACCTCGACGAAGCAAACGCTTCTGATGAATCCGTCTTCGTAGATGTAACACTTCCTGAACCACTAGACTCGGGCGATCAACTTGACGACTACAACAGAGAAGTAACCATAAAGGACGTATCAGCAAGAAACATCCTACAGGTGAGTCAAGGTAGCTATGATATGTCTATGGCCGGTGACATATGCGGTTCGGAGTTGATATCGGAGTTGGTATCGGAGCCGGACCCCGTCGAGCGTGAGCCCACTCCGCGCATGGGATCGGGATCTAAACCACCACTTTCTAGAAGTGCATACGCAGCAGTTGCGCAGCCCTGTCCTAAAGACGGATACCTGGACAAGCGACCTTGTATGACTTTAATGGGTTATCCTCGGGCGCCCAAATACTTTCCATTTAAAAGCAGAGTAGGAAGTAAGAAGTGATGCATTTCCTACCTTGACGTGGATAGTGACTAAGGATCCATCCCATGTATGGAAGTATTGAACTTTGCAACAACGGCAACTTAGGTATACCGAGATTTCACATTGACGAATAGAATAATGAGAATGATATCTTTGCAATTAGAACTGTTGTTTCTTTTTAAGTAGAATCCAACAGAATAGACAATAAAGACCATGAATTCTATCATACCTGTATCATTAGCGCTTTAAGAACAACTAGACTCCTCGCCTTCGAAGTGTTGAATCGACCTACCTAATAAGGAAATTATGCTTAGGACAGGGGTACGCGGGAGCGCCATGGACTCGGGAGAGCGCTACGCCGCAAGCTACCAAAACCAACAGTATTAAGATTAGGTCGAATCTTCATCTAATTTAAAAGACATGCCCCCTCTCCTTACTATTTGGCCAAACCGACCGCATCATTACTTAGCTCTCGGTGAAAATTGTGGTGGTAAGGACGCGCAAGTGAAGCAATCATGACGCGTCTATCGTGGATTTCCCTGCTGGGTATCGCTACCTTAGCGAGCTTAAGCGCCGGGCTATCAACAACCCCGAAGAACACCTCGTTCCCGAAACCGACATGGAAACGTCTCTCCACGGGAAGCGACGCGCGTTTCCGCGGCTTAGCACCCGTGTCGGATAAGATCGCGTGGGTATCAGGGACGAGCGGGATTGTTCTGCGCTCTACAGACGGCGGCAACACGTGGGAATCCGTCGGCCCTGAACTATCGGGGATAGATTCCGCACTTGAGTTCCGCGACATCGAAGCGTGGTCTGCAGAAAAGGCCGTCATATTGTCAATTGGCGAGGGCAACAGCTCGCGCATCTACGTCACGGATGATGGCGGCGCGACCTGGACACAGTCGTTCACGAACCAGGAACCGGCTGCGTTTTACGACTGCATCGCGTTTGAGGACGCGAAGCGGGGAATGGCGATGAGCGACCCTGTCGATGGGAAGATCCGATTAATAGAGACGCAGGACGGCGGCGCGACTTGGGATATTCTCAACTCTGACGGTATGGTCCCGGCGCTCGAAGGCGAGTCGGGTTTCGCCGCGAGTGGAACGTGTCTTGCAACAACGGCCGGCCGCTGGTATGTTGCGTCGGGGGGTGTCGACCCTGGCCGCGTATTCAGGAGCAGTGACGGTCACCACTGGGCCGTTTCGGATGCTTCTATAGCCGGCGGCGAGGGTTCCGGTGTCTTCTCGGTACAGTTTCGCGATGCGAAGCGCGGCATCGCTGTTGGCGGAAACTATTCTGCACCTACGGGAGCTATTAACAATGCAGCGTGGTCAGAAGACGGTGGTGTAACTTGGGTCCCGTCTACGTCGTTTCCCGGCGGTTATCGCTCTGGGTCTTCCTGGGTTCCTGGACGTTTCAATATAGCTCTTGCGGTAGGCCCAACAGGATCAGATTATAGTCTCGATGGAGGTAGGAATTGGCATGGGTTTGATAATAGTAGCTTGGATAGTGTGGAGTGTGTAAAGGGGGATGTCTGTTGGGCATCTGGGGAAAAGGGTGCGGTAGCACGCCTCGTATTTGTGTAAACTTCGAACATTGTAATAGTGAAATATAGTATAAGCTCAAGAGCAGTCATTGTTCCCTCAGATCTTTTAAAGAGGTACGAAGTATTTCTATTATCTCAGAGTATTAACTATGATGTTTAAAATGGAAAATTCCCTTCCATCAAACCGGCTTCTCAAACACGTCCGACCTCAACCTACTGCGTAGGTAGGTACCTATCCCCGTTATGATAGAGTAAATCGGTGATACCCGTACGGTTGGATTAGAGCCTAGTATCTTTGACCAGCAGCAAATGTATACGATTCATCATATTAGCATGAGAACTAATATAATTAAAACAGCCGATTTAAAACAGCCGATTTAAAACTCCAAACTGAAAGGTATCTGAGTTGACTGCCAAAGACGCCGAGGAATGAATTGCTCTCCATAAGTCCGCCTCCGTATACACGCTCTAGGTTAAAGAGCATCCCTGAAATTAGAAATACCTATACAGGGAACTTTTCAAGACTTATATGACATATAGGCATCATGTGAGCAGAATATTTGCTTTACATAATTCACTGGCTGGTTCGACCATCTCATGGCGTGCTGATGGTGCATTCCTCGTGTCTCCTTCAGTGGGCTTCGCTCCAATTGAAATTGTGTCCGCATATGGTACCTATAGTAACTTAGTATTAGCAGACGTTTTGAATATTCAAGCATGATATGCTTGCAAGATAAGCCATACACTTCATGTGATCACTAGAAAGTACCCTATTAGCAAACTTTGCTTTGACTCTTAATTTCGCCTTGATAGGTAGATATACTCACCAGCCGCCATCCTTGAAGATTTCAACAGTGCATTTTGGGCAATGTTTTATAACACGGGCTGTTGCGGCCTCTTCTGCTCTTAACCTATCTTTATGCTGTTGAATTTCTTGTCTTCGTTTCTGCTTGTCTTTCCTTTCAGCGAAAAGGCGTTCTAGTGGGCGGCTTGTCCGATTCACGGATTCGGGTGTTTTATCTTGTTCTCCCTGTGTATTTGTCTGTGTCTGGACTTTGCGGCTGAAGCTCTGGGGGTCGGCAAGGAAGGCATCGTATTGCTCACAGGTTAAATCGCGGTGCCAGACGGTCCCATGGCGAAAGCAGAAATATCGCTTATCTCTGAGGCAGAAAACCATAGGCGATATTTCTCCCGGGTGATGTATTTGCCCCTTTCCACAACCAAGGGGACACCAAACAAAATTGTCCATATTAGAAAAAAGCTTTTCCATTGCTCGTCTCCTATACCTTTGGTAGTATGTTAGAGTTTATAATTGTTTGAAATTAGGTAGTTATTCACGAAAACCACCTGTGTTTTGGCTTGAAGATTTCGACTCACTGAGCAAATAAATCCCCATCTCCAAGGGATTTAACTATCGCGTGTGTTAACTGCCCTTTACATTCAGGACATAGAGGCCTATCTACAGCGACATCCCGAAGTTGAGAGTTAATACATAGTGTGAGGCATTTGAAGCAGTAATTATGATGGGCACAATTCTCTGTTAATGGACCTTCTGGAAAGTCAGCAATCGACTTGTTTTCAAAGCACACAGGGCACAGCATTGCCTAGATTTGGTAATCACAAGATTACGGGCTAATAAATTTGTAGTTAGTCGATAATGAAAGATACGATGCGTGGACTGAATAGGTACCTATTTAATATTATGCATTGACTTAAAAGTTTAGTTATATAGTATTTGTCTTAAAACCTAGATGTTAGGTGACGCTTCGATGTCTTTGACCTTCTAGCAAGAAATTAGGATTTCCAAGACTCGTATACTCGAAGCTAGTTTAATAACATACTTTATTTTAGACATTGAGGAACCCTCGGTGGACCGAGAACCGTGACTCGACAGAATAATCTTACGTTGCTTCTACAGATATCTATTGATCGAAAACTCTTTTTTATCCTAGAGATTTGTAGCACTTTCTGGCAAAACATCTACATTATATACCTTAGGTATGTATATATAAGGTATCTATACCTTAAAAATGCAAGTGCAAATAAATAAACCTCGATGTTTTTCTAGGCACCTACCTACCTATATATAGTAGGAAAAGACACGTTCTAAAATATTAAACTAGTGAATACTACTCAATGCTGATCAGTTGACTCAGAATACGTGGAAGCCACGTCAAAGAAAGGTGTGAGTAGGCCTATGTGTAAGTAACACTGGTGAGTTGGATACCTTACCTACATAGGTACCCAAGGTCAGGAGGTAGGTACTTAATCAGGTACGTAACATAATCTTCTCACGTCTTATCCTGACGCTATGATCTGAACTTTTACCTAGATATTTCAGGAGTACCTTTAGGAGTAACTTGCTGAGGTCATTGCGCTCTGAGGTTACCTATATATAGGTCGCTTCAAAAACCACTCCAACCGACCTTACCGCCCAAGGTCTACTCTTCAACGCACTTCAAACTCGCGGTGCATATTATTCGTATTATTTTCTAACTATCAGAGCACGATGGCTTCGAAGCGCCTCTCCACTAGACAGATGCCTACTCGCCAATTACATCTCGGCTCTTCTATTGCAGGAGTTCTCAAGATCGTGGATTTACCCTGGGCTCGTGATAGCGAGAACACACGCTACAAATCCCCTTTCGATATACTTCCGGATGAATTACTCCTCGCTATTGTAGAGTTTGCGACTAGCCGTAATAGAGACGTCTATAGCGACTGTTGCTCCGATCGTCCAGATTACCGAACTACCGTGGCGTTAACGAAGGTTTGCCGTCGTTTAAACCGTTTAGCGACGCCACTCCTTTACAGTTACATGTATCATAACTTGTCTTCTACCGACGACTACGAGTCTTTACGTCGTATCTGGTTACCTCATCGACAAGACTGCAGACACCTAAATATCGATATCAAGGATCCGAGCATTCTGACCAAGGCGGACTGGCTTGCTGTAAATGACTTCTTCACGGGCTACAGCCAAGTAAGATGCCTGATAATCGCCGGAGGATTTGAGACGTCCATTAGTGAGACATGGCAGCTGATTTCTGACATTTTGACGCATATGCCAGCTTTAAAGCATCTCACAATCAAAAAAGATTATTGGAGCCCTCCGTTCCCTAGCTCTCTGTTATCGTCTCTGATGGAACACGTTACCGTCTCGAGACTTCAGGCCTTGACACTTTGGAGAACAGGAAATGCTGGACCAATAAAGAGCATTGAAAAACGTGATAGGATGGCTGCTTTGAGAGATCTTAAGATGCATGGTTTCAAGCAGGATGGCGGAGTCATGGAACGTTTGATCCGATGGCCTAAACAGCTTCGGTCTTTCTCTCTTTGGCACAGCTTCGATGACGACGAGCGCGACTATATGGATCTAACCATGCTCGGCTCGTGGCTTTCAGCTCACGCAGAGACACTCGAGAAAATAGATATCGGTCCTTTATCGCCCTCGGGTAAGGGTAATATCTTTGACTTGTCCCAATATCGGGCATTGAAGAGGCTTGGGCTTTCCAGATATTTATTCTCGGATGATCTAGAATCTTCCGAAAGCGACGCGAATCTGATACTCTCACCGGGGCTTGAAGAATTCTATTGGCATTTCAGTATTTCCAATGGCTTTTTTAGGGAACCCCAGAGTGTATTCGGAGAAAGAGAAGAGAAATGGCTACAAAAGCTTGTGGATATAGCAGTGTCAAAGTCATCACCACTCAAAACGATCTGCGTTCTCTTTAAGCCCAACCAGGGTTATAGCACGGATACGTGGTCTTGGGATCATTTAGTCAGATTGAAAGAATATTGCCGTCAGGTCGGCATTACTCTCCATTATAGCAGACCACCATTTGACAGGGATGAGTGGATGAAGGCATTCTCCGCGAAACCCCGCGCAAACGACGGAAGACATTAGGGAATACTTCACGCGGCTCAACCTCGACCATCCATAATACTCTGTGGCGCTATAATTCTGGCCTCTTTCAGGCAGTGTCAATTACCTACACATGCTGATGCCTGACATAGCAATGGGAGATGGATAATTCTTCAGTTTACGGCGAATCTAGCCACTAACAGATAGATAGCATTGAGGTAGATTTATAGTCGAAGTTATCAAGGGAGTGGAATTATATTTCATACTACTCTGACGCCGTTTCTAACATGGTAACATCGGCTGCTTGGCAACTCCGTGCTACGACGTATATGATATATGAGATCCTGGTGTAATCATCCGCATGAGGAAAGTCGGCATGAAATGCAGCCAAGAACTGTAGGTAGTCATGTGAGAGTTAATATATCACGCATTTCAAATGCTGTCTATAGATAAGGTATTCTCTACAGCGTGCGGCTCTATATAACGTAATGCTATGTCTTACTCTAGGCTCCTGAGCCGGTGAATATTGTTCTCCAAGGACATTGGCTAGGTCACAATGATGTCCTTTAAGCTTCTAGCACTCAATACCGTAGCATCATTCGTTTTAGGATCTCCCGTGCCTTTCCCTAAGGGCTTCCACATTTCCGTGAGGGAGGACAGACCGTTCAATGCGAGTCTCCCTAATGTAACCATTTTCGCGACTGGAGGCACAATCGCAGGAAGCGCGAGCTCAAGTGATCAGACTGCTGGGTATAAGCCCGGGGTGCTTGGCGTTGATGGTCTAATCGATGCCGTGCCGCAGCTGTGGAACGTATCCAATGTCCGTGGGGTTCAAGTAACCAATGTCGCATCGTCGAGTATCACGCCCGAGATTCTTCTCAATATAACACGACAGATACAACAAGAGCTTGACAGCCCAAACTGCCAGGGTGTCGTAGTGACACACGGCACCGACACGCTCGAGGAATCCGCCTTCTTCCTCGACCTAACGTTGCGTTCCGAGAAACCCGTCGTCATCGTCGGCGCCATGCGCCCCGCAACAGCCATCAGCGCTGACGGGCCAATTAACCTTCTCGAAGCCGTAACACTAGCCGCACATCCAGACGCCCGAGGCCGGGGCGCCATGATTGTGCTGAACGACCGCATCGCAAGTGCGTTCTTTACAACCAAGAGCAACGCAAATTCCCTAGACACATTCAGAGCCGCTGAGCAGGGATTCCTGGGCTTCTTTTACAATATCAAGCCCAAGTTCTACTTCACGCCCGCACTGCCGCACGGGAAGCCGTATTTCGACGTTGGGAATGCGACGAGCCTTCCGCAGGTTGATATCCTGTTCGGCCATCAGGGACTTAACCCTGCTCTGGCGTCTGCGGCTGTTGCGAGTGGTGCTAGGGGTCTTGTGCTCGCTGGTATGGGAGCGGGGGCATGGACTTCAGGGGGGTTAGATGTTATTGATGGTGCCGTAGAGAAGAGTGGCACAATTGTGGTTGACTCGCGACGATCGATGGATGGTTACGTCCCACCGTATGGCCGTGGTGGATATGGGGGTGGTCTTTTGAATCCCCAGAAGGCGCGCATCATGCTGCAATTAGCATTGAATGCCGGATATACGAGTGCTCAGATGCAGAGTCTGTTTGAGTTTGATAGATAGACTATGACGCGATATCAGTTTCAAACGACGTCGCAGTATATTTTGCAGCGATTAGGAATTAGTTGTGCTGTCCATAATTTAGGTCTTATTAAGATCTAGGCGCTGAAGCCTATGTTCATCTATCATTATATTAAAAGACAGATACGAACCCCACCAGTATTGCGACAAGTAGTGGTAGTGGTAAACCGAAGAACGCTGAAGCGCGCATGGCTGTCATACTCGCCCCCTGGGATTTATCGTCGTTGGCTGTGCCGGGAGAAATATTGTTTGCTGAATTCGGGTCTATTGTGAATGTCCGTTTCGCCGCAGGTGCTAGGGCGTTATTAGCAAAATCCGAAGACCTCCAATCCGACCAATCGTGTGTCAATAAGCCCCTAATGAATTTCATTGTTAGATTGATGCCAAGAGCAATGCTAAGCTACATCATATGTATTGCGGCAAGGAAGAGAGATGTTGCGAAACTCACCAGCTTTCATCATGATCCTGAGTTCCTTCGCGGATGTAGTAACTTCCCCCTATTTCCCAGATCATCCAGCCGGCATTCGCTGAAGGTATATAATCCAGGAGGCATGAGATATATGGGTCTTGCGCCGCTGTACCGTTCTGTATGAGACCGAACTCCGTCAAGACAACTGGGAACTGATTCTTAGCTTCGTCTGTCAAGGCTTTGAATCCAGCGTTGAATAATTTGACTTGAACCGTAGTACAGTTGCTGGGCCCGGGTCCGAAAATATTGTCGTATGCATGTAGCTCGAGAACCAGCTTATTCGCGAGGCCTGAGAAATCGTCTTTATTAAACGTAGCCGATCCGGGCGTGAGTGCTGTTCCGTTAACTACGGGGCTCAAATCCAGATCCGAATCTAGACCCGAGAGGAATATCAGGACGTCTTCATTGGCTTTATGAATAGCGCTTGAGCCCTGTTTGACGTAAGTATACCAGCGTTCCCAGCTGTAGGAACTGCTAGCAAGTGTGAGGTTATTTAGGGGTATGCGAAGCTCATTTCGCAGAGACATCGACGTAAGGCTTGGCCATGTTTTCCCCTAGTCGATATTAGTAATACGATTCATCGTTTGACCAAGATGCGGCTGTACAGACGTGAGTTGCCATGAAAGATAGGCCTCGGGTCCAGTTTTCAATGTTAAAGAATTCGTCGCCCCACCAGGAGTTCCCATCGAGGGGGCTGCAGCACCAGCCAGCTTTTGAGATATGGTTATCTAAATGGACATAGATCTCTTGCTTCGCACACTCAGCTGCAATAGCGTCATACACCTTTGGACACTTCATTAGCTTCGAGAATCGAATATGGGACTTAATAAATGCTAGCTAACCTGTAACCGCGTCGTCTTTGTATTGAAAGACGGGTTGTTAGCAATGATTTTATCATACACTGCCTTTCCACCATCTTGTCCCAAAGCGTCGGTGAGGGCTTTCTGAATTGTTACATCAGTCTCCCCATTATCATAGTATTGGTCTATCATCTCAGTGGCGTATGTGAGCCGAATGGTGTTCATGCCTAGACTCTTGACCCGGGAGATGATTGATTCAATAGACTGATACTGTAGACCTTCCGGGATCATGGTGTCGAGCGACCCCGGCCAGTTAACGCCGACATAGGTGACGGTTGAGCCGGCGGCATCATGAATCCACCGGCCCGAAGTGACGAAAGGTCCGTTCGGCCAAGTCGCACGCGGCGTATTTGATGAAGCGAAGACTCCAACGATAGCTAGATAGGCGGGTATCCAGTACCGCCATATACGATTTGCCATTTTAAACGAATGTTGGTGGAGTTGAAGTTGAAAGGTTCAAAACCGTAGCTATTATGTTTCCACGCCAGACTTTTGATTTATCATAACCAATACGAGCATTTCAGCGGGCGCATAATCGTTTCATCAGCACGGTTTCGTATTTATAGCCAAGAAAGGTGACATGTTAAGCCGATCGCCCAACGAAACTATTTTCATTGGATGGTAGTTCCCGATCTGTAGTGGGGATAGGCGTATTGAACAGTCAAAGATCTGCTAACTTTAGATGCTCGGATGGCATGGGATCCATATCTTTTCTTTATCATCTTCGTTAGGTACGGATGTATCATCGAGTTTAAATATTTGTTGAGCTGGCCTTATACTAATTGAAAATTTTGATTGAAATTTGAGGGTGCGAAGTTTGCAACGATAAAATGGAAAATGTACAAGTCGCTAGGATTTGTATTTCTTACTCGTGTTAGCGTTAGTTTACACGTGCGCATACTTAGCGTTTGAATCAGCTTACCTAATATAGAAGATTTATAGGCAAGGGACCTGTCACGTTTTCGGAGCCAAACTCATTTCTTAACATTCTTTTCCTCACTCTTGTAGAGATATTCGTCCCATTTCTCGCGAGTTCATACGCGTCGCGTAAACTCTCCTCATTATGAAACAAGAATTTTTAGTTTATTAGCGAGTCTTACTACCGATGAAAAGAGCCAGTATCGACGATTGTGGTCCGTTTCGTCGAATACCTTAGGTTAGGTACTTAGGTGGGCATGAACGTCGGTGAGGCTTCAAATGAGCGTCTTCCATGACATGTTTGAATATCGTACCGACGTAAAAATTTGCCAACATCATCCATATTCTCCGTTCGCCATTCGCAGTTAATACTGCTCATTATTGGTATAGCCGTGCGCCGTACACAAGAAACCGATTAGATCTCCTACAAAGTCTGATGGCTAACGCCAGGCCGAGCTTATAAGGAAACGGGGTTTCTACTCGTCTTGAACTAACCCCATCAGCTTAGGGAGTACATGATCCGCACGTTTCAAGCAAGCAAGCGAGTTTATAAGCCAGTCGAAGTTTAAATTGTAATTCAAGGTGGCCATCCCATATCGAAATTAAGCAGGTCCGGAACCTCGGTTGGTGTGGGGAACGTGGTATAGTCGAATTGCGATATGGTTGAGGGATCTGTCATCTCTAGCAAATATTTTTGGCTAGAGTTGGTTGAGATGTCTACTAACAGTTCTGCAGATTCGCCTACGACGGATTGTGAGTTATGTTCTGCTATAACTCCGCCTAGAGTTGTATCCACCCGATCTTCTAGACTTGTCGCCTGGCTAAAGATATTGACTGCGTGTGGGTTTTTACCTCCACATACCTCCTCTCCTTTTCTGAGATCACGGCACTCGTTTCCCAATGGATTACCGATCTTGCTCCTTTTATCTGCTGCTTGCTGGCGACTGCTTTGCATCGCAATACCTGAGTCCAGCGTTGGCGATGAACGAAGACTATGAGAAGCGCTAGCTAGCTCGAGGGCTTTCGCATTATCGCTCATCCACTGATCGATGATAAGTTGCAACCCCTCTCCTAGCACCTCCTCCTTAAAAGTATCTAGGTCCCTTTCTTCGCGCGGAAGATTCCAGGTCACTACCCCCCTCGCTTCTAGAAACTCGGCCAAAAGAGCCGGTCCTCGGGCTGTCATGAAATCCTGGAAAACGCATAAGTCGTCAGAGAGCTCTCGGTCACGGTAAGGTGTCCTTGGACGCGGATGTGGGGAGAAGATAATGTCAAAGACTGCAAACCACTGCTGCTCCTCCGGCATCTTAGACGACACTCTCTGGCTGAGTTCCCTTTTTTGCTTCTCCGAGATACCTTCCATTATGGTGGAAGGTCGGGGCGTACAACTCCTCAGCCCGATATGCAAATCCCTCTCGTCTTCGTCCTTGAATGTATCGTTACAAATTGGGCAGTGTATTGGTTTGCGATGACATCGTGTTACGTGCTGTTTAACATCACGAACCCTGGCCAGGAAGTATCTATAACAGTCCCTATAGCGGACCGGGTCCTTCTTGGCATAAGGGCAAGCTAGCCATAGTCGGCGATCCTGTGCTCGTCGCATGGTAAAACTCCTCGGGCTTTGCTTTTCCCCGGTAATGGTTGAGGCACAGTCCGATAAGCGATTACGTTTACGCGGCCGGTCATCCTCACGCTCATGTTCAACTAATTCAAATGAAGTTTCGGTGCTGTCGATTACTAAGGCGCTTTCATCCTGCTGGCCCCCCCAGGGGTCTTTATAAGCTGTCATGACCACTTGTAAGAACGAGTCCTTCCACCGAAATAACGGATGTTCCTCTTCAATTGGCGGCGTGTCTGCGGAACAGGTTGAATTTGGTGTTTCAGAGTCGTCTGCTTCCCATAAGAATGTAATGTCGTATCCAGAACGTCCCATCGTCTTGTGACAACGAGAAAATTTTGATGAAGCACTTCTCACCAAGATGAGGCCATGCTTCGCGAGCCATCAAAACATTCCATGCAATGGGATCCGCACAAGACTGACCTAGTTCAGTAGGTAGTAGATTCATCCTACATAATCTAGAGCGGACAATGTCAGATTTTGTGGCGACGAAATTTCGGGGAAACACCGATTCAACCAAGTCTACCTCCTAACGTATGCTAAGACGCGGCTAGACATTTTGTTCATGCGGCTCGGCATGTATATATGCGTGCAGAGCACTGTAGTGCTCTTATGCAAGTTTGTTCTGGTGACTCGGATCTTGGCTCTTTACTCTTCGTTATTGGATGGCATCTCATTCGCTCCGCATTAGCATGGTTGCCTTATAACGAGACCGGCCGCATTACATGTCCGTAATTTTGAGCCGCGCTCCATCTTTCCGACGGAGGCGCGGTTTAGCCCTATATTCCCCGCATCTCTTCCTCTCCATCATGCCCGTCCCGTCCTAAGACCCAAGTGACGGGGCACGTCAAGTTGCGGCCACGCCAGACTACCCCGGACGCACCGTCTACTATAGGTTAGGTAATGAGGAACAAAATAAGAATTCAGGCCAATCGTGAAAGTACCTTTCACACCTCACGGCGTTATTTTATCTTACTATCATTATTAGAGCGAGCTAACAGTAAATAAGTACCTAGGTTAAGCAAATACACTCAATTGACTAGAGCCTTTGAATTTACAATCTTCTTGCCAGTTCGCAACCTGGTGTCTTAATGCAGAGTAACATGGGCGGAGAATATTCTCTAATTGTTAGAACATCGAATTTGCCACACGAGGCAGACGAGGGTAGCTTCATACTTGACGTTCAACGAGGCTCGCATGAATACGGTAGTCAACATTAATAGGTTTTCCTTCATTTTAGTAATATTTTATTAATTAGGTGCCTACATAAAGCAACCTTTTTACTGCCACTTCTAACTGCTATTTCATCCTATTAGATGAATCTGCTCATAATTTCCTGCATCCGCAGCCTACTGAATAAGTTGCATATAATTGGCCATTTTTACGATGTCTTCTTTCCCCCTGCAGTTGGTTGCAGGTTCAGGTCTGATGATTTTATGTACACTGCCTACCAAGGCTGAGTCTTGCCAAATCAAAAGTTGTTGCTCACTCCCTCGGCCTAGATTTTCAAGAATATCTTATAGACTATTATATGACCCATCAACAACTTCACTACGTCAGATATTAGATCCCATTCGGTAAATCCTTAAGTGTCTATCAGCATGCAGTCTTCCAGCCCGCACATAACTTACGCTACAGGGGATTCACACATTCCAGCCTATATGGACAACCTCAAAAGCCTCTCTTCCGTAATGGCGAGATCAAATGAGTCGCCTGGGATGACCGCTGGGCCAAGCACCCGTTCCCCTCTTGCACAAGACCGAGAACCGCTCCTTGGGTACCCCGATGAGCCCCATTCGCCCTACTCGGATGAAAACCCCGCAGCTGAGCCTCTTCGTAAGAGAGCCTGCGCAGTCGGCTTAGCTATTATTATGTTTTGTCGGCTTTTCAACACCATATTTGCCGCTTGCACGATAGACAAGGCGATTAAGGTGACGGGTGACGGGTGGAATTACTGGATTAACAGATTCCTCTTCGGCATCTGTTTGGTTATCCCAGTCTGGAATATCTTCGCTCTTACCACGAGTATTGTCAGCTGTCCGCTTTTCTCGGTCTTTGGTCGCAAAAGGGGGGAGTCCGTGAGTAGCTTCAGAGATAGGCTACGCATCCGGTTCGCTTGTAATGATGCAGTTTTGGGCCTGCTTACTCTGGGTCTGCTCGCTATCGCGTGTCACGCTATAAGTTCTCATTGGGGAGAGCGGTTCGTAGGGCTTAGGCCGCCAATCATGGCGATGGTGTCGGTGCTCGTGTAAGTTCATTCCTTTATATCATCTAGGTACTATACAATTCCAACTGCATAGTTCTAACATAATAAACCAGCGGTGCGGAGTTCTTTACAGCAATGATCCAGCTACAGCAATGAGCCAACCTTTCATATTCTCAGAGAGGATGCTATATAGTATCTGGTACACCTCGCAGGAGTGGTAAGATACATTGTAATAGGATATGTCCTTTAGGGATTGCCTTGTATAGAAATTTAATGAACGACGCGGGTGGTAATTATTATATGGAGAGACCCTTCCAGCTCATACCGAAGTTCTGGAAGGCCATTGGAGAGTAGCATTAACCAAGCTAACCTGGGAGCACTATCCGATGATAAATTCGTGTGGCAAGGGAACAACTATAATAGTCCGAGTCACGTTCTCTCGGATAGCAACTAAGGTAGTCAAACTCGGAGTCAGACGCCGAAGGTTACTTAATACATACTACGTGCGTTAAGACAAAGCAATCGAGTTGCAGTATTTAAAACTCGTGGTTAAATGATTGGCTGATGCAAGACTGAGGTCCTAGCGAAGTATCAGAGCAGAGCAGCTAAGACACTAGCTCGACCGAGGGCATTATGTACCTAGGTACGTAACATACATATGTACCTTAGGAACATATGTGCTGCTTCAACGGAAAGTTACCTAGGTATTATGTGTATAGGTTTCCAATTACAGAGAGATATCAACCCGGACCTTGACTTAAATGTTTAAGTATCATGTAGGAGGTAGGTATCCAAGTAGGATTAGGTTAGCTTTAATAATGAGAAAGGTACATATCCTTAAGTGTGTCTAATGACCTCAATGACATCAGATATCAGATGAGATACAGGGGAGGTTAGGTCTAGGTACTTTAGGTAAACCCTTATCCCGTTAGCTCCGAGTGAATGAAACCTGGGGGCTTGTGTGACAATAGGTACCATGCAAGGTGCCCTGAAAGCTTATCTGAATTGTTTGGGAAAGTACTATAAAATACAGTGGGATTAGGCTTGGTCATCTGCTATCTATCCGTGTTATCCAGGTACCGGCATGTGTACTCCGTTATCGATCGCACTAACGTCACCCACCTATTCATTGATGCAACCTTAGGAGGTACCTAAAAGCCAAACCCAGGGCTGCTGGGTGCTGGGTGCTGGGTGCTGGGGCAAGTCAGACCAACCAGACCAACTTTACCAACCTTGAGCCTACCCACTTTCAAGACCCTCAACTTTCTTCCTCAGCTAACACACATCGCATTTATTACACTCCCTCGCGACGTTAGGTACACTACATAATAATCTCCCCTCAAACCACCAAGAGGTGTGTCATCGCCATCCAGATATTCAATCTATATCACCAGGAGAAACTTGCGAGCTGGTCATCCCAGCCGGGGTAACTCAGCCGCTATAGGGGTTTGCTGTATTCTATTTTGATATCTCTTCGATAAGAATCCTTCTAGATCAAGTCATCTTTAATCGTATCCCATCCCACCAAGAGTATCCCACCAAAAGTTATCATCATGGCTACAGCTCCTCCACCAACCGCACACGTCGATGAGGACGTCCCTCAAAATGAAGGGTCTAAATTAAAGACCTTTATCTCTATCCTACGAAAGTAAGCAAATTCTTGAATGCCTACCTAACTCATCTTTTCTCCCCCTAAAGCAAAAGGGGAGGAGGCAAACTCACCGCCACCGTCGGTATCCATCCGTAATCGGAGCCACTTCAAGATACAGCGCTATGCACTCTTTTCACGCGTTTACATTCGTTAGTAGTATATTTTACTAACATCATCTCCGCGTCCTAGATTCATAGGTGTTGCAGATCTTGCTGCTGTGCGATTCTCTCTTCCGTCCCAGCTCCTCGAGCCGACACCCAACCTGGAATACTGGAACTACCTCGACAGTCCCAGTGCGTTTGCCGCGATAGGTACAGCCGACGAACCGCTAGATCGTATGCTCGAAGTCCTACGTTTCTGGTTTACCAAGGATTTAAAATATGTCAAGGGCAAACCATGCAAACCGTATAATTCTTGCCTGGGCGAATTCTTCCGATGTAACTGGGAAGCGGAAGATAATGCGCCACGGATCGATACCAAGAGTTTGACAGCTGCTAGCAGCGGCAATGCCAGTAGTTCATCTTCGGTCAAGTCATCCAAGGTTAATGGCGACCCACGAACAGCATCCACCGTATCTGTTGTCCAGACTACACCTAATCCGTCCGGACCTACCGTTCGGATATCATACTTGACTGAGCAAACCTCTCATCACCCGCCCGTCAGCGCTTTCTACGTCAGCTGTCCCGAGAAAGGATTACATGCCAAGGGTTTCGATCAGATCAGCGCGAAGTTCACCGGTACTACTATCAAAGTGTCTCCAGGCGAGCATAATCTGGGCATTTTCATTACTCTCGAGCGGAGGGATAATGAGACATATCAGTTAAAGCATCCAGCTGCACATCTTGGGGGGATTCTGCGAGGCTCTCTAAGCGTGAGTGTCGGTGACTACGCCTACGTGACCTGCCCTCAGACAAAATTAAAAACGATCCTTCATTACATCGAGGATGGTTGGCTCGGCCGGGCGCAAAACAAGATGGAAGGCGTCATCTTCAGATACGACCCGGATAAAGACGACAAGATACGCATCAAGGATGTACCTGACTCGGATGTGGTTGCGAGGCTAGGTGGTGCATGGAAAGATAGAATCGTCTTCACTCTCGGCCCCAAACCTGTGGTAAGTTCGCAGAATATGTTTCATTCCCTACATTCCAGCAGCGAGATATTGACAGTTTCTATCCTAGGACTCACATCCGCCAGAGAAGCAAACAACTATCATTGATCTTAACCCACTCACCGTGGCTCCCAAGGTTCTACCGCCGAAAGAGAAACAGGCCGAGAACGAGTCATTGATGCTATGGGACGGCGTGACTCAGGCCATAATGGCAAAGCAATTTTCAAAAGCTACTAACGTCAAGGTAGAACTCGAGGAAAAGCAGCGAGAGAAAGCTAGAGAACGTGAGCGTAAAAACGAAACCTGGAAACCGGTGTTCTTCGATCAAGTTACAGACAAGCGGGGAACGCCTGACCTCACGGAGAAAGGTCGCCAAGTACTCGAGAGGGCACAGAAGGAAGACTGGAGTTTGGAAGGGATCATCTAGAGCGGGGAGCATCCTTCGAGGTTAGAAACATAGCGACCGAGCAGGACCATCGAGGTTCTACATTGCATAATAGTCCTTGGGTTACGATACAGCATCATTGCTTTTTGGATGGCTTCGCTTACATATATACGCGCATACATTTACCAACCATGGGGATAAGGCATAGCGGCTTTGGCCAAAGCCGCACGTGGAGTTCTGTGCATTCGTTTAATATCTGGGTTTTTTTTTTCGGGTAGACACAGATTCGAGTTTAAGCGGCGTTCAGGAGCATGTAGAAGCTGATAGATAGGTCTTCTTCGGAAGTTTTTCTTTTCATCAAGACTTTCTACCATTTCGCTGAGGCATACTCAGCACAAACCTTCGTTTTTTATCATACCGATTTGAAGGAACCTTGAACATATGTTAACCTTTTATCAGAGGTTTCTATTATCCTATTTGATTTCTCACTTCTACCTTGTTTCGAAATTTACCAGTTGTCGCTTATCTACTGTAACTTCGGAGGCCAAGTAAGAAGAAATATATTGGAAGATTTAATACCTCGAGTTCGGAGTAGTACAATCATAAACATGTACCTTAATCATACCTTAGGTACCTAAGTATACACCTAGGGTTTAATATCATTCAGTTCTATGATAATATCCTCTAACATGATAGTCGTTAGCGGACTTCAGCCTCTATCATACTTCTAACCTACAGGTCCGTGGTGACCGTGATCTTTTTCCCAAGCGCCAAATCCTCCAAGAATTTATCGTTAGCCTTTCTTATACGCTCCAGAGCATCCCGGCCGAGGACGAGCCTTAACACTTTACCCTTCAGGTGTCCCGCCAAACCTTCGCCTGTCAATGTCTCAAAGATACGATCCACGCCCTTCTGGGGGTCACCAGGCTGCTTGCCGCTTTTGGTCAGCAAGACATCCCGGATCCGTGCGACGGCTGTGCCCTCGTAATCCTCAGGCAGTGGTGTCGCAGATTGGTTCAAGGCGGCGAGGAAGTTGGTCCGGAAAGAGCCCGGTTCGACGATCAGGACGGACACGCCAAACTCGGCTACCTCGGCTGCTAACGACTCGGACATGGCCTCTAGCGCTGCCTTGCTTGCTGAGTATAGCCCGGTTGTCGGCACGTATTCCTTGGCTGCCAAGCTGCTCATGCTGACGATGACGCCGGAACGCCGCGCCCGCATGCCCTCTAGCGCTGCTTGTATCACGTACAGTGGCCCGAAGAAGTTGGTTTGTAGTTGGAGCTGGGCTTCTTTCTCACTGGGTGGCGTCAGTTCTGAAACTCGTTGGTAGCTAGGTATTAGTGTAGGTGGTATTGCTTACCTCATTTGCTCGACGGCGCCAAGGACGAGGAAGCCCGCATTGTTGACCAGGTAGTCGATTTGTCCGACCGCTTTGACTTTCTTGGTGATGCCCTCCCGAGACTCGTTCAGATCTAGCTCGATGACTTGACCTCCTGCCGACTCGATCTGTTTCACTGCGTCCCCGGACTTGGCCTTGCTGCGCACTGCTCCTATAACACGGTGGTTGGCCTTGAGGGCTTTGAGACAAAGCAACAGGCCGAAGCCATTGGATGCTCCTGTGATGAACCAAACAGACATTGTGGGATTTTATGAGGTTAAATTGAGTTGTTGAGATATTAAGCCTATCCAACTCCAATCCTTCCCTCCCTTATATACAGGTCGGACATTTGTTGGTTGTTATACCATAATGTTAGCCCCCCTTAACGCAGTCAGTCCATCTAAGTCATTATCAGCAAGCACGAAATACCCAAACGCAATGTTTTCCATCCAAAACGAAGATCTGAAATCGGATCTTGCTATAGAAATCCGAACGTCGTTGACTTTTCGCGGATTTAGGTTATACTCCTACTATATAATAACTGGCCTTCATCTGATCTGTAGGTGATAGAAGTAGTTTGCGGCGGTAAAATCCGATTTCTGAAGTTGGGTATCGGCGATGCCGACTTATCACCGACGGCGCAGAACGTAGTGTTGGTATTGCGGAAAGTTGGAGCAATGTATACCTAAGGGTTGATCAACGTGTAGGGCGCGGAGTTAGTACCGCGCGATTGCACGAAGAAACAAGATCTGCTCTTATAGCCTTTTAACTCCATAGGAGGATGTATACAAGTGTAAAACTTATGAGTGCGAAACTACATTCTCATCAAAGTATAGGAAATGATAGCTCCAGGATCTGCGGAAGACGTCTTGTTTAGAGCTCGGACAGAACCCAATAGAAGTTCGATGGCGACCTGTTAAATAAGATTTGTTAACCGATTTATATAAACTAACATGGACAAATTACCTTTCGAACGTGGGCTTAACTCACGAATGCTATCTTTCCTGCTTTGGATGATCATGATGGCTGTACCCCTGAAGACTTCTCAGCATTAACTGACCTGAAAGGGGCGTGTCTACCGATGCTTCTTAATCTAGTCGGATTCACGATAGCCGGGGCGACAAACTGCTGGCCTAGTGAGACTGTGGTGCCTGACCGGATAGGGGCGTATCGCCCGAGAAGATGATTTGACCTCTATGCTGAAGAGAAAACGGCACTGGGTAATTCCACACATCACCACGAGGGGAAAGCATGCCCAATGCCAAGCCTTAAGGAGGTTGCAGAGTAATCTATGGGGACACAACTCTGTTCAAGGTTAAGGGACTATAAAACTAACTGCCTAGCAACAGATCAATGATGTAACTGGAAGCTCTTCATCTTGTATATTTTAATAGTTTAAGGATTTAATACATTTTGCAAGATAGGTACCTATCTTCCCAGACTATAAGGCGATAACTTTACAAGGTTTAAAGGAATTAACTTACTAGTGTAAACTCACCGCATAGATATAGCGCCCCATTTTCTTAATACAAACTAGAGTATTTTTTAAATCAAAGCTCTATATGCGAACGTTAGGTTAAGCAGTTGTTATAGTATCTGAGATAATAATATTAGTTTAGGTACTTAAGGACTTGAATCATTCCATCAAACTGAGAAATCATCACTATCCGCCTTATTTAACTGAACATAAAACAAATATAAAACTACTAACAGGCAACTCAAAGAGGCGTTCAATGAGTGGCACGTTACATACTATGGCTGACTTATCTTACTAAATATGTGGTGATGGGGTAATTTCAATGAGTACTGCGTATGAGCCACCTGATTATCCCTTACATATTGGCTGAGAATACGACTAGGTAGATACCAAAAGTTTATAAGCCGGTCTATTTACATGGTACGACTTAATTAAAAGCTGATATATGCAGTGCCTCATAGTAACGTATACTAAAGCAATTACATATACCTTAGGTACATGGCAAGATCCAATAACTAAGCCAATTGCGGGTTAACTACTATGTTAGCAATAAGCCGTCTATGTAAAGCCACCTCGGTTAGGTACCTAATATACATCAGCAGAGCGGACGAATATGCAAGGGTTAGATATTGCAACTTCACCTTTCGGTGCAACCAATGACGTTTTTTACCGGACGCCATGTTTACAGAGACACAACTCCCGAATTAACGATTGGTTGAGCAGATATCATTATCTACCTCCTAAGGCTTATCTTGATCACCGTGGGGGATCTGTTGTTGCATCGTCCCCTCAGTCACAATCGCGTGTATCCGTATGACCCAAACCCAGCTGGTATGGCTATGCGGATATAGAAATCAACGTCTATGACTGTGCCACATCCATGACTGCGCATAGGTTGGATAAGCTAAACCCGCTGGCCTTTATGCGGTCTATGACCCTTACTGAATAGAATAAAGTGGCTTATGGTAATACTAGATTGGTCAACTAATTTTATTATTCTTAACCATGGATTTGTCGCATCGCCTCTCTCCTTATTGCTCATAAACGGTGAATGTACTTGGCATACTGTGCTTACCCGCGAAAGAATTGTAACCATAAGCGGATAGATCGCATAGAATGTTTATATAACATCTTACTGTGGTCTTTATCTGTCTTTTCCTAGCACATACTCAATTTAGTAGCCATATCTTCTACCTCGAGCGGCTTTATCGGTAGGGAGAGGCCGGGTTGACATCACGATGTTCAAGCAAACACAAACTGGGACATGGCTGGGGGCATTCGTGCCGGAGTCATCGGCATGCCTTTCTTTCTTGCTAATGTTCTGTTCAATAACACAGTCAACCGTAAGTACAACCTCCAGCGTCGAGGTTGATTTACTAATCATTGCGGATATTCCCTCACGAGTAGACCGGCGGATATGACGGCTCCATGTTGAACGGGTTGAATATTTTGCCCTCGTATACGGATTACTTCCAACTAACTCCGGCGACAACGGGTCTAAATACGGCTTCTGTATTCATCGGCGGCATTCTCGGCACGCTCATCTCCGGTATCATGACCGATAGACTCGGCCGGCGTCCAGCCATGTTTTGGGCGTCCGTCATTACTTTGATCGGCACAGCCATTCAGGCGGCAGCCCAGAATATCGCCATGTTCGTCGTCGGTCGAATTATTCTGGGCTTTGGAAGTTCTGTTTCGGGAGTGTCTTCCGGCGTATTCCTATCTGAGACCTTTCCCAGCCGCTTACGTGCCTGGGGACTCGGAATGATGAACGATTTCTATTAGTAAGATCCCAATTGATAGATGTTATAACAATAATAGTTCGGCTCGGAATTTAACTTGTTTTGTTTAACAGCGTAGGGGCATTAATAGCGTCTGGAGTTACATTAGGGACTGGGCAGTGGCAATCAACAGTAAGAGTATTGGTCTAAGTCATGGATTGAACTGTCCGGCTAATAAAATGTTAAGTGGGCGTGGCGGCTACCATCGTTGATACAGGGTATTTTTTCGCTTTTTTGCATTATCATACTACCCTTCGTGTAAGCTTCACCCTCTACCAAAGCCTCGGTCTACCCTAACCAATCGAACAGTCCCGAATCACCGAGGTGGCTTTGCCATCAAGGATATTTTGAGGACGCGCGGATTTCCGTGGCGCAAACAAACACCAATGGTGATCTGCTAGATCCCGTCGCTGTCGCAGTGTATAAGGAGATTCTTGACGCCATCGAGTGGGAGAAGAAAGAAGGCCGGTCAATGAGTCCAAAGGAGATTATCAAGACCCCTGCCACAAGGAAGCGATTCCTCATCGGAATGTCCGCAGGCCCCTTTTCATGTGTCGCTGGCAATATTATCGCCTCGTACTATTTGGGTGCTGAGCTTCAGACCGCCGGAATTACCGATTCAACAGACCAGTTGAAGGCTGTAGGACTCCCCTTAGCTCTACTAATTGTACAAATTTGCTTACATCGAACAGAATGTCGTATTAAATGTCTGGTGCCTTCTGTGCGCCTTGGTCGGCACACACATGGTGTCTCAGTGGGGCCGAAAGCCCACGGCCCTCGTTTCGGAAGCGCTCCTCGTTATATGCCTCTTTATAATCGGAGGGCTTTCCAAGATGTATGCCGATCACCCCGCAAGCGCTTCTCAAAGCCTCATATATGGAAACGTTGCGGTGATGTTCCTGTTCCAGGGATTTTACTCCATAGCTTGGACACCTTTGCTTTACCTCTATCCCCCAGAGGTCTTTTCGGGTATGTAAATGTGATCTTAACACCACTCGTCCGTTATAGTTTCTAAGATGAGCGCTAACACATCTGTAGTTCGTCAATACATCTTCTCGTATCTTCCTCTTTATATTAGACGGAATTTGAAGAGGAAGAGGTCACATTAAATTTGCTAATAATACACGATAGTACTCTATTAGAGCCAATGGTCTGGCTGCCTCGACGCTCTCTTTAAACACTCTTGCGTAAGCTTCTGGCTCTCAACCGGAAGGTGTACATAAATACTGATGATATTCTTAGATGCGTGTTCGTATTCATCATGCCCATCGGCCTGAACAATATCGGATGGAAGATGTACATGATTAACGGTTCTTGGGATATTGTTATCGCTATACTTATCGTGAGTAGTTAATTACTTCTAAAGCATTTGGGGAATTTACGTCGCTGACATCTACCTTCACTGTGTTAAGGCGGTATTCTGGGTCGAAACGAAGGGCAAGACACTAGAAGAAATAGACGCCCTGTTTGAGGGCGAAAAACATTCTTCCGTCCCTGGCGTGGAGATGATTCGGACTGGACAAGCTAAGCTCGACGCTGACACGATGGAGCTGTCGAGTCTGAATTAGTGATTAATTCAGCAGTGGAGCTAAGACAGATTAATTTGCTTTTCGAATAAGTAATCAAGTGAGCAAGTGAGCAATTAACTATATGTCAAGCTGCCGTTGTATCGAGATATAGTGGTTCGTGCGAAGCTCACCCACGCACTTTTCTATACATAGGTACCTACCTAGGTAGGTAATCATCGATCACTACATCACTATCACACATATGCTCATACGCTCATATAGTGGTACGACGGCTCTATAGTCTCATTCTAGAGGTCTAGAGCTCCCAGCTCCGACTTATAATATATTTTTTACTACCCTTCAAATGTTCTAGATACGTTTTACTTCATAGTAAGCGCTCAAACGCCTAACGGTAGTCAATACCGCTCGTTAGCCTAAATGAGTGTATCTACCCCGATATTGCTAGCTACTCTTTTGCCAATCAGTTATACTATATGTATCGTAGTATTCAGTATGCTAATTTTGAAATGGTTAAGAGTACTCCAAGCTATTTCAGGCTATTTTAACATCGTCCAAGCCACCCGGGAATTGGAAGTATGAAATCTATACGCAATATAAGAAAAAGACGTTTTAACTATTAGCCCCTATAATCAAATAATATGGGAAATCCCCGGATAGACCAAGAATTGGGTATGTATTCGGAAAAAGAAGAGGAAAAGCGATTGAACTGGTATGCTTAGCCTCATAGGCCTAGAGCATATACCAAGTGCTCTGCCAAGCCTTGAAATTTGGAGAAATATTGGTTTTTCTTTATTAGAGGCTTATATTCACATGGGGACGACGGATTATACTACCCCAAACAAGTCGTTCTCCTCATTACCCTAGTCGAAGATGATTATAACGGGGGTTAATATAGCGATGCGGAGAAACTGCAATCGGTGTTGCGGGGTTAATTAACACGAAGGTCGCTCTTGGCAGAAGACTTATAAACTACTTATAAGCCTTGGGTGGTTGAGATGGCGGGCATAGAGATTATCAGACTGGTGTTGCACATACACTCGGAGTTGCAGTCCACGGTGAAAGATGTTCGGTCTAGATATGCGCCTCTCCAGTAGGTTACTGCTCCTCAGTGCAGTTGCAGCACAGGCAAAGTATATTGTGCCTGGAGCAAGATGGCGGGATACGGAAAATAATCTGGTCAATGCCCACGCGGGCAACGTCGTCTTGGAGAACGGCACATTCTGGCTGTTCGGCGAGTACAAGGTCGAGGGACAGGAAGAGGGTGGCGGTGTGTCGGTTTACAGCTCTGAAGATTTGGCTACTTGGACTTCTCATGGTCTGGCTTTAGGTAAGTCACATTTCATCGCAGGAAAATGGCTAAAAACATAATCTAATTAAAACAATAGAACCTATCTCCTGGCACCCCTTTATCTCACCTAAGAACATTATCCAGCGGCCCAAGGTTGTGTACAGCGAGTCGACAAGCCAGTATCATGTAGGTTACCCCTAACTCATTAGACATACTCGTCAGTACTAATATAATCTGTTAGATGTGGTGGCACGCCGACAATGCTACGTACGGACGTCTACTACAAGGGCTCGCAGTCTCAGATACAATCGGTGGGCCTTACAGTTTCGTCAGTGCCCAAGCTCCTTTGGGTAATTGGTCGCAGGACTTCGGGATGTTTACCGACTACAAAGACGGCAAAACCTATGCGCTATACTCGAACGGTGATAGTTTAGAGGGCCGAGACGTGTATCTGGCTTCATACAATAAGGACATCACGACGCTTGAAGAGGTGGTTCACCGCTTTGATAAGTTCGATCTCGAAGCTCCTTCTATCCTACAGACCGAGCATTCTTATTACGCCTTATTGAGTCATAAAACGGGATACAGACCCAACAGTGAGTAAATCGCTCAGCCTATCCTAATATCGTGTCATACCCCCCACATATTGCGAGATTGGTATTAGAGACCTATTTATAAGACCGGGGTTTGCTAATCACGCCTTTAGATGTCGTTGCCTTTCGAGCGGACAGCTTGAGTGGCCCCTGGTCCCAGCCCTGGATTGTCGCACCGCTTAACACGCGTGCTTTCAATTCCCAGTCCGGCTTTACGTTAAGAATAGCAGGAACCGAGAAGACGACGTATTTATACTTGGGCGACCAGGTGAGTCTCTTGTCTATGATGAGTATTCCGAGAAAGTAGAACTAACGGATTGTAGTGGGATTCTAACTCGATTTGGGAATCTCGCTATATATGGCTACCCGTAAACATCGACGATGACAAGAAAACCCTTCAGTTGGAATGGCACGATGTTTACGATCTAGATGTGTATGTGCTGGTCGGTCTTACTCCTGCGCAGATGAATCCTGACGTATGCTCTTAGGAAAACCGGAAACTGGCAGCCAGTGAATGGGATCACATATTCTGCCAAAGATGCAACAACAAGTGGAAACGCTTTCAAGCAAGAAGCCGTAAGTTCATGACACCAAGGAGTTATTGCAGTTTGATTAATGCTCGCGTGTATTTTAGAATTTCGCCACTGATGGGGTTATCTTGACCGGGATCGAGGGTAATGACAGCACAGTCACCTTCCAGGGCATAGAGGGAACAGGAAAGCCCCAATGGGTTTCGTTCCACTACCAGAGTGAGTACCTCATGCCAACATCAAGTTACGGTCATATTCTAACAGAGACAAAGACACTGACGACATGGGCTTCGGAGATCAACGTAAGTTTACGACTCTATCATCACAGCCATGCAACTACTAACAAAATTCTTAACAGCCGGCGGCTCGCCAGATCGAATTGGTGGCAAATGGCAGCTCCGCCGCATTTCCAGCGTTGTCGTGAACGGGAAAACGGAGAACGTCGAGACACTGTACCAGAGGGATACCCACAAGGGAATCATCCTGTCGACGCCGCTCCAACTAACTCTAGAGGAGGGATCGAATAACACTATCACAGTGGGTGGTCTATACAACGGGTTTCAATACAAGGGTGCCGATCTTGATAAGATCGTCGTCTATCCCCCAGAGTTAGAATCCTGGCCTTGAAGATATGCTGGATAGGCTAGACGCTGGGCAAGTCTATTCGTTATTATATTAAAACTAATAATTAGTGTTAGATCTAACTATCGCTCGTAGACATGCCTAAGTATTATATATACCTACAGTTATAGTAAAGAATTACAGCCTTTTAGGGCACCTGGAGGCTGTCTACTCTATATCTCCATCCCAATTCCGTAAAATGTTCTCAACGCATGCTATTCTTAACTCGTCTCCGTAGTCGCCATATAACTCATATTACGCGTTCCAGATATATAATCGTGGGATTATACGTTGCCGCACAGGAGGTTCGTACACCAACTAGGCCGATGTAACCGTGGCGGCTGGCCTGATAACACCTTTCTCTAGGTCTTCCGGATTTTCACCAACCTCTTTCATTAGAGCTGGCGCGTCATTATTATCCTCAGCTTCAAGTCTCTCTCTATATTTCTTTGCCCTTGCGACCCGGCGTTCGTTTTTCTCCTGGTCCTCACGCATCTGTCGGATAATGGTGCTCTTGGAGCGGATCTTTTCGCCGTATCGATAAAAGATGATGGGGATAGGAATCATGGCCGCTTCTAATAGACCTAAGAGCGTACCAGCCCACTGCGGAGTAAGTTTTGCATACATGGCGGGTCCAGCAAGAGGCAGGGTACCACCAAATATACTACGAGTTACGGCATTACCCGCTAATGCAGACGCAGCATAGATACCATACGCGCCAGCTAGGTAGTTAGAGCCATAGATAAAGCTTAGCGTGTTGCCTGCACCAAAAGGAATACCAAAGGCGATAGGGATAGCCCAATGAATAGTCGTAGGTAGGCATGTCCAGCTGAAGACGAGCTGGCCGATGGGAACAAGTATCGCACCAATAATCATAACACGCGCAGTCGCTTCAGGAGGTGCGCGCCCAGTAGCGGGATCCTTGGGATGAGAGTTGATAATTTTGCGCCATAGGGGTTCGGCGACAATGGCGAATGTACAACCGATACCAATTCCAATAAATGCAAGACCAGAAGTGCCTGGACCCCAGCCACGGTGTTGGGAGAATACGATGGGATAGGCGACGAAGCAGAGGTAGAGAATCCCGTATATTAAGGAGATCCTAATTGGAAACGTTAGTAAGACAGAGCTAACCTCACCCGTAGACCCATTAGGCCTTTCTTATAAACGGGAATATGCGGAGTCCTCCATGCATCTTGGGAGAAAGGATTCTACTTGAGGTTGTTGTAGGTGTAAAAGAAAAGTTGTAGACCTAAGTTTCGGTACGTACCGAGATCCCCATAGAAATTAGCTCGCGCTTGCGTTTAAGGCCAGTGTCACGAGATCACGTGGCCAGCCAAAAATACCTAGCTTTATATGGGAATTTCAGTTACACAGCATAAATAGGAGCCATAAATATAGGAGCCATAAATAGGAGCCATAAATAGGGCTGGAGTTCAAGGTAACAAGTTCGAGGTAACAAACACCTAAACTCCTTGATACGCGCGATCTTAGATATGTAAAATATACATACCAGACGTTGAAAAACCATAGGATGGGTTCTTTAATAAAGAACTCGAAGGGCCTTAACAGACAAACCTTTACAAGTGCCGCTTTAGACAGCTTCTGGTCGTACCGACACCACCATCTTTCGTCGTCAGTTTCCTTGCGCATTTTTGCAGCTCTATTTTGGAGAATTATAGGAGCATATGTCTCCTTGGTGAAGAGCATGAAGAAAATGCCGACCCCGGCAAGTATAAGAACAAGCCAGTTATCCCATCTCCATCCTAGATATTGGAAAACGTAGCCGCCGATCACAGGGCCCAGCCTACGTCAAAAGTTAGCTTTATAATCCCCCACCTGGGAGAGTAATAAGATAAGGGTTCGTACACCGGGCCATTTAATGGGGCGGTTGAATATAACGACATGAATAGGGCGCGAGTTTCTTCCGTCGAGATGTCCACAACAGTTCCTGGACTGTTAGCTATCATCGCGCTCCCGAACATCGCCCTAGCGCCTAGGTCAGTACTTTCCTAAGGGAAGTCCAAGGATTGGCTACTTACGCGAAGAATCGGACCACGAGAATCTCGGCTAGCGAGGTTGCTAGACAGGTTGGAATTACCATGGCCGCGAAGCAGATCAAGCAAACGATATACACGGGCCTACGTCCATAGAGCTCACTTGCAGGTGCTACGAGCAGACTACCTGTTGCAAGACCGAACATATATGTGGTAACGCCGAGAGTCACAATAGTGGTAGAAGAATTAAACTCTTCTACTAAACCAGGGGTCGACGCCGTGTAACTGGTGCTATAAAGCACGATTACCCACGACGAAAAACTAATAGCGAAGATAACAAACTATAATAACGAGTTAACAATTACTTCTTTCAGCAAGTGACTTTGGAATAAGGGGTTAGGAATGGTTTTAGAGTAGTGACTCCTTCATCAGCTTGATGAGAGACTACTATTTCCCCGAGACAAGCCAGGGGAGCAAAGCGATTATCGATATTACATACCGACCGGTACCATAAAGGCCAATGCCGAGGGTTTTCCGGATCGTTCTCCTCAAATGCAACTTCGTAGTCTGGGAGCCGCGACGCTGAGGTGCCGACGCTAGTCGCCGTACGTACACGAACGACCTCTTCGAAAACTTGAATTCCAGGTGAGATTGCCAACTCCAGCGGCGACAATGGGTCTGTATCGTCAGAGGCATTCGATGCGCGGCTCGAGCGGCTTAGACGCCTATGCCGGCTTTGCTTCTCCTCAATCGAGTCCTCGCGCGATTCCATCTCACGCTTCTCTATACGCTCGGGTTCTCTCCTGTCCTCGCCAAGCCCATTTTCTGCATCTTCACGACCCGCCATTTGGGCGTCTCACTAATGTAGCAAGCGGGTGGCCGCACGGAAGAAAAGCAGCTAGGGAACGGTCTGCAGTAACCTTTACGCCAACTTGCTGCGGAGACCAGCCGGAATAAAGTCGGTCAAGACCCCTAAAACTAACAATTGGGAATAGGACAATCTATAGTGATAGCCCATAGGCTTAAACATATGAACTTTAAATTTGTCAATGGCAAGACATATGTGTAAAAAAGAAGAAGAATTATTTACAGTTAAAGGATGAGTCGGGGACAGCCAGGAAGTAACTGGGTACAAAGTCCTATCACCGGCCTATTTGCGCAATTTTGCCTAGGTATACTACACCGAACTGATTAATAAACCCCTCAGGAATAAAGAAGCTCATGTATAAGGCTGTAACGTTGGCTAGCTACCCCTGTAGTCTTTGGTAGAACGCACCGCTGTGTGATGTTCTGCATGCGCATGGGAGGCGGAAAGTTAAGATATTGCCTTTGTCACCTTGTGCGCTCCTAGCTTCCCATAGGTCTATCTTTCGTGGCAACCTTGTCAGTACATGCATGAGTGGCCCGTCAGATTGGGCAGCATATGCCATATGTTAATATGCACGTTAGGGGCAAAGTCCCTTGATTTTGGAGAATCACATCATCTTTCAGCCCTTACACACCACAGGCTATTCCTTACGAATGTCGATATTCTTACGAAGAGCCGAAATCGTAGCCGATGCTGAATGTCGAAATATCTCCCTCATATTCCTACATGTTGGCACTTATATCCCTAGCAGAATATATGAGCCAATTGCAGCATTATTCTGCTTCCCGGAGAAGTCCTAATCATTTCGATCATAAATAGAAAAAGAAAAAATTATTAGAGAACCGTGGTAGGTAGTTATTAATTTAGGGAACCTAGCCTGCTAACATCCGGGTATCATTGCAGGTTAGTAAACGCTAATGCTTTACTAGGAAGGTCGGAAGGAATTTTTCTAGATGCTTTGAGGCTCCGAACAAGAACTCATCGACCTCGGAGCTTGCTGTTGTTTTCTACCCTTCAACGAACTTCAACTTGCCTTTCAAATATTAGAATTCCTAACATTGGAAATTGCAAAAATACACATTTATGTTTTACTAGCAACTACCTAGAAGATTGAGTCGAATAGGTATGTGCCTACTGACTTTACCCCGCCTAACACAAAGAACATACAGGAGTAATCCGTACTTGGGCGCATCTCCACCGATAGAAAACTTGCCGAGGTAAATATATAATAAGTGGGCTCTTGAGATCGACCCTGATGGCCATGGGTCAGATTGCAAAGCCTCGGATTTGAACTTCTTATCTCTTATGTTTTGAGGTGCGAGCATGCCACAGTACATTCCTGGAATGGTATGTTTTGACTTTTTTGAAAGGATTGATTTGTTGATGTAAATGTAGCACACTCGCACCTGAGGACATATATTTTCCATCTGCCTCATATCGTAATTTACTGATGAAATCTTACATGACTTACACACCCAATCCAAGTAACATCGATACATAGACGAATGTCTATGCACTATGTATAGAACAAGTCCGTCGCTAACCGGGATAAATATTAATCAGCCGATTCGCTGAGATCTCTAGCTGATATAGGTTAGGTAGTCATTCAACTCCCGATGCAGATAGAGCCGTTTCCGAAACATCTTCCCTTGGCATATACGTATTCTTCTCTAGTGGAACTCATTAGAGAAACTTACATAGAAAACGCGCGTTGAATCGATTAGTGGCTGGTCCGGGGCCTTTTCCGTGTCAAGCCGGACTAACAATACATCATTCACGTGGCAGTTACGGGATCTGCCGATGATACTTTACCTTCAGCTACCGGGAGTGTGCCGGCCGACATTTTTCGGGAAGGGACCATTGATAGAAGTTTTACCGGGTATTGTCAACATTCATACAGTGTATGTATGCATCTCATCTGACTGCGGTTTAGGCTCCTAGGCTCCGCATCAGGATAAATTAGTTGATGACTCACTCGAGTCTGCGCCCAAGCTCATCTCATCTGTAGTTCTCATTAGTGTAAACTTCCCATACGCTGCGATAATTTAATTTTCTAATGCCACCCAGGTATAAAAAAAAAAAAAAAAAACTCACACTCGTTATCAGTGTCAGGAGCAACTCTAAGCGGCATCATACTCTGATATTTTGATTTTGATATGTTAATATTAGAATTGCTTAGAGAGTCAATCTTTTCAGATTTGCATGCCTTAGGTAGCTATGTACTGTATTGCAGCCTAAGAGGCGTTCCAGAAATGTGCCTGTAGGACAAGAATAATTGGATGTCAAGCCGCGGGGCATTGGAGACCCTACGTCACGCCAGACCATAATAGGAAAAGTCTAAACAATTGACAAGTGTCGAGTCTCCACGGGAACCAAATGTGTAAATGGTATTGGTTACTGTTTACTTTATGCAGCCACCTGTGACGCGACCTTTATGATTTATCAGGGCTGTTATTGCTGTAAAAAGAAAGAAAAAATATCCTATTGGGCTTGCTCATATTCCACCGCATCAAGAAAAATAATATTGTATGTAAGCTTACATTTGCATCTCTTCTTTCTTCCCTTCTTACAGATCGCATCGTGATTGTAACTACGAAATGGGGGAAGATCAAGACCTTCCCATTGCCTTACGGCGTACGCCTCGGGCCAGCGCCGGGGCGGCAGGATTATCGGCTGCATCGCGGTTATCAGCAACCAATACCGCTTCAGAAGTAAATGCAAGAACCCCTAAGCGACGGAGCAAGAAGAGGGTCCGTTTTTCTGACCCTGGCCCGAATATCGAGCACGATGATACATCGTCAACAACAGGACTTACACCAATGGTTCGGCGAGCGTCTCTTGGTGTCGTTCCTTCACCTAAACGTAGACGTCGTTCCACACCAACCCCTCGGTCGCATCCCGACGGAGTAGATGAGTTATTTGGCAATGATGGCAGCAATGAGATACGTTTCTTCTCATTGCGTCAGGTCCTCGACGACCGCGTCAAACGACGCATTCGTCGAAATGGATTAAGCGAAGAAATGAACACCATCAGCCAAGAGAAGCGACAACGCGTTCAGAAGCAAAAGGTCGAGCTGCAACGCCTTCAGGACCAGCTAGCGGAGAAAGACCAGGAGATCGACAGGCTGCAAAATACTACAATGGTCCAGGACACCGATCGAATCTTAGAATTAGAGCAAGAAATCCAGTCACTTAGGAATGAACTAAGTAGCAGGACCTCGTCGAATGCCGACCAAACACGGAACTACGACTGGACACTGGCCGCTCGCGATCCATTTTCAGATAGCTACATGGACGATGACGAGGCCTTTGGGGATGCTACGATGGCGGATTTGATATGTAGCACCCCGTCGAAGACTCGCGCATCAGCATCGTTCCCTACGCCACCCTGCACAAGCCCGACAGTTCCTACTACTCCTTGTTCTTTGCGGAGAAGCACACCCGTAACGCCACAATCTCATATCGGAGTACAAGCAACACTCCCAGATCCCGAAAAGGAAGCCTTAGAAGCTGAGCTAGGGTCTTTACGTCTCGAATTAACTAAGTTGACCGAGGTCCTTGAGAGCCACGAGGCCCTCAAGGCACGTATTGCGGATAAGCTCAACACGGCCAACCCCCCTGCGGAGTCATCAAAGGACGTAGAGGCGCATCTAGATACCGTGTTACAGTCACTCTCTGACCGGACGGCAGCACTCCTAAATCTCAACTCGTCTCTCACTTCCCTAGGGTTTTCTGGCAATGACGCGGGCGAGATCGTGACATCGCTGACTGGGGCGTTCCGCTCAGCACGTTTAGAACTCGAGTACCTCACACCGGGAGAGATCACTCTTCCCCTATCCTCGCGTGGGGCTGAAGTCCTAGACTTGGTACTTGTTCGACTACGTAACCTCGCGCGCCAAGTTCGCGAGGACGAGGATGCTATCGACGAATACCATGAACTGGAGTTGTCATTGCGACAGCAACTCAATGCACGTGTCGATGCGATGGATAGTATGCGCGAGCGAAACCGGACCGAGCTCGCCAGCAAAGACGAGCGTATCGCAGATCTAGAGATAGGCCTGGAGCGTCTGAAGGGCGCTGCTGACGAGTACCGCCGCGACGTGGGGGAACTAGAGAGCTTGGTGCAGAGTATGGAAGAGGGGAGCAAGGTCACCGAGAAGCGGCTCACGGCTGAGGTTGCAGGCGCACAGGCCGAGCTAGTTGATAGCAAAGCCACCGTTGCCAAACTAGAGGCCAAGCTCGCGTCGGTGCGTGAGCAAGCCGAGAACTTCCGTCTGCAGCTCGCTGAGTTGCAAAGACGTAAGGCGGCTGAAGTTAAGGCCCTTAACAAGTACCACGGGATGGCTCTGGCGGCACGGGACGCACAAGTGACGGATCTACGACACGCTATCGACGAAGTAAATAGCAGCCTACACGAGGCGCACACCACAATTAAGGAGTTACGCATAGAGAACATGGGGTTGAACCAGTGTCTAGATGAGGAGAGGAACCGTGCCATGCACGCCGTCGACACAATGAAGGCTGAGCTTGAGCGCGTGCTCAGGATGAGCTCGGAGTTCTTGGCTACGCCGTCAAGGTCAAGCACTAGTTGTTCGGTGAGAAGCTGGCGCTCCTCGACCAAATCTACTGCCGAAACTACTGCCGAAAGGGTGGCTGGAGAGGACGATACGACGACTCCCGACGGTAGTCCCCTGAGGTCAGGGGCTTACCTCGCAGGTGGACTAACGAAGTCGATCAGGGGGGCTAAGAGGCGGAAGCATGATAGTGGGTTAGGTCTCCTGGACGAGGATGAAGATGGCCGCGTAGAATTGGTCTAAATATTATTTCAGACGATGCTTAAACGCCGTTCACTAACTTGCACTTTCTTTTCATATGTTATTTATTGCTATTTACTGGTGTTTAATCTATGATAGGGGAGTTATATCCCGTCATTACTAGTATACGGGGCTGAAGTGCAGTACTGGAGTTAATGTCGGGGAGATGACTGGCAATGTGGCTATAAACATAGAGGAGCATCTGACTATGCATATTCCAAATCTAATTTTACTATCTGTTTGAAAAACGTATTAGCTGAAGTTATCGTACGATAGTCAAGAATTGACCATACTTTTGGAAAGTTTCACACAGCATCCGGCTCGTGCGTTTGATGCTGGTTCTGTCTCATTGCGAATCAGCATGTTGAATACCATGCCCGGTAGATCAGTGCATGCTGCATACTGCATGGCTGCCTCTCCGGCATTCGCCCTCTCATTAGACTTGGCAACATCCTTAGAGCCGATAGAGTAAGGGGATGAAACTTCATCCTCTTGTCCAGTATCGGCTGGAATAACTCCCGTTTCGCTACCAACACAACTCATAAACAACATACCGCTCATCA